CCCTGCCATTGATGAGTTCCCTGCTAGAACCCTTCATCCGTACACAGAACACCTAGCAACAGCCTCTTCATCCCTTCCCATGCCCCTCCCATTCATGTCTCTTTCCCCCCCACAGCTCACCTGATAGAGCTGGTCATTTTCCAACAGAACTTGAGTGTCAGCAGCTAGAAGAAACAGGGGAAAAGAGTCATCAAGGGCCTAGGAGGAGGGGACAGTGAGATCCCATGAACACAACAAGAGGACAGCAGCTGGTGGTACCCTCAGAAGTCTACATGGGCCATATGGGCACAAGTCTTCCAATAACCAGAGCTAGGAATCCTTAGAGATTGCAAGAGTGACTCCAGGAGGAGACACAACCCACTGCCAGCTCCATTCTTTGCAGGTCCGCACTCACACCCACATCCACAACATATGTGTGCACGCGTGCACACATGAACGCACACTCTGTCCCTTCCACTTACCCTTAGAGAACCTTCCAGTCTCATGTCCAGAAAAGCAATAGACTCCCAAAGCAAGGAGAAGAGTGGCGATTAGGTCAGTGATGACAATGCCAGCCAGGGTGCCTGAGTCCAGCTCCACACAGTTCTGACACACTGCAGGGGGGACGGAGATGAGAGGAGAACTGGAGAGCCTTCAAGACCAGGGAACCATCTCTGCCTCGTAGGGCAACCCCGGGACCTCACACCAGGACCCAAACTTCAGTAAGATCCCTGGAGAAAGGCCTGCTGATACCCTTGCTACATCCACCTCCGCCCTTCATCCCAAGGAATCCCTGAAAAGGAGCCAAGAAGCAGTACCAGCTTTGTAAGAATGCAAACAAGGCTGCAGGGCCAAACCGCTCTCCCAACCCAGCCTCTACTGCTTAAGTCCCAAGGCCCCTGCTATTTTTTTTTTCCATTAGTTAAGCTCCAAAGTCTGGCTCATACCATTACAAGAGGGACCCCCACTTTGTTTAGAGAACAGGTTGGTCCAGCATGGTCCTTTCTGGCTACAAGCTTCTCATATCCAGAGGGTCCAGAAGGCACATACTTCGAAAATATACTTGCGTAAAAGGTGTTTTGTGGTCTTGTTCATCTGTCTCCTTGCACATATACATTCCTCGTGGGTCCAGGTTGCGTTTTCCCAAGTTCCACATTTTACCATGTTGTAATGGTAATGTTCCCTCCAACCATGTGATGTTGGTGTTACAAGTCAGGAACACCATGTCCTCAAGTTCTTCCACGGTTATCTTGGAGGGGCTCCCTACGAGGAAAACAACAGCAACCCAAAACCCAACCATGACTGCAGCCAGCTGTTTGGTCTGCAGCAGATGCCTTATTCTGCTGAGTTTGTACTTAAAAAGGACCACTTTCTAAGTCTAGGACAATTTATGGTTTCTAGTGTGAGAGACAGAAGTCACAAGAAAAAGGCTTTGGGAGGCTCCCCATGAACTACAGGGGCCAGGAAGGATGCAAGGATTCAGTCCCAGCAGAGGACAGACCCTGATGGACATGGAGCCAAAGAGGAAATCATGGAGCCAACTGGATCTAAGAACCTTCCTGGAAAGGAGTTCAGACCACTGATTAGAAGTAGAAGGGGAGGGGCCCCTGGGTGGCTCAGTGGGTTAAGCCTCTGCCTTCGGCTCAGGTCGTGATCCCGGGGTCCTGGGATCCTGGGATCAAGCCCTCCATCGGGTTTTCTGCTTGGCTGAAAGCCTGCTTCCCCTTCTCTCTCTGCCTGCCTCTCTGCCTACTTGTAATCTCTTTCTGTGTTAAATAAATAAATAAAATCTTAAAAAAAAAAAGAAGTAGAAGGGGAGTATAGATTGCTGAAATATTCAAGAAATATGGAAATGCAGAAGACTGTTCCTTGGCTGGAGATGTCCACATTTGTTTTCCAACAAAACTTTTTTTTTAAGATTTTATTTATTTATTTGAGAGAGAGAAAGAGATCAGGAGCAGGGGGAAAGTGAGAGGGGGAGGGGTGGATGGAGAAGCAGCCTTCCTGCTGAGCAGGGAGCCCAAGGAGGGGTTCAACAAGGGGCTGGATGAAGGGTTCAATCTCTTGACCCTGAGATCGTGACCTGAGCCGAAGGCAGACGCTGAACTAAGCTACGTACGTGCCCCTCCAACAAAGCTTCTAATTCTACATCCCAGCCATCTATAACCCTCCCACTTCAGCTTCTCATCCTCTTCCCTCCCACTTTGCCCCTGCCCCCATAGCTACCAAGAGAAATGGACTCTCATCACTAACGTCTTTCTTAGGACTAGTGATGGTTGGGGTAGGAGAGAAGCTGGTATGGATTACCATCCCAGTGATCCAGAAGGAGAGCCTGGGCAAATCCCATGTAAAGATTTTTAGTTGTTCTACCCTTGCTTATGGGTAAGGAGGTAGAAAAAATTGTTTTATCAAATTCATTCTTGGTGTGTCACACAAGTCAAGGCTTATAGGGAGTTTGAGGGCTGGAGGTATGCACAGGGCCTTTCTAGATCCACTGAACTGTTTTGACTGAGAACACCTCCACAACCCACAGAGGCATGAGAATCTGTATCTCCAATCCCAGGGAAAAGTGGAGTCCAGATTTTCCCTGAATTCATATTCCATTACCAACTTGAATACAAAACATCTTCTGGAAAATCCCCCAAAGAGCTGTTTCTTGTGCGTCTCACGCAGGCCAAGGTTATATCACATCTTATAATCATGCCTTCCATGAGGATCTGTTTCCATTGGAAATCCTGGATGTCCCAAAGCATTCGTCCCAGGTGCCTGAGATTGAGGGGGTTTCTGGGACAAGACACTACCGGTTTTAAAACCAGGTGAGGGGGGCGCCTGGGTGGCTCAGTGGGTTAAAGCCTCTGCCTTCGGCTCAGGTCATGGTCCCAGGGTCCTGGGATCGAGCCCCCCGCATAGGGCTCTCTGCTCAGCAGGGAGCCTGCTTTCTCCTCTCTTTCTCTGCCTGCCTCTCTGCCTACCTGTGATCTCTATCTGTCAAATAAATAAATAAAATCTTAAAAAAAAAAAAATTTAAAACCAGGTGAACCAAGATGAGTTGATCATCTTACGACCCCAGATCTGCCCTCCTTCCTTCTCCACCTAAACTCAACTTTCTGTTAAAGCATCCCCCTGAGTACAGGGTCATGGCTCCTGATGGTGACAAATGATGGCCAAATCACTAAAAGTACTAGATCCTAGAGCCTCTCTGTCCTAGAAGAAATAGTGTTCCCTTATCAGCCCTAGGCTCAGGCCCCTGCAGACTGCACATTTCCTGCAGATCTCTGGCTCTTAGAGAGGCATTCAAGGCCAACATACACGCCCAGCTAGACTCAAAGCCAAGAGCCTGTTTCCCAACCCAAACTCTGTACTACATTCCAACCCTACTCTCCTCGACAACTCTTCTTGGTAAAGTGAAGCTAGCACTGAGAAGGACTTTTACGTGGAGCCCAGTCCAGGTGCAAATGTTCCTCTCTCGTCCCTTCTCCAAGATGTCCTCATCACCTAGAGAAGCCTTACCTTGGGAGAGAAGGACAGCCAGTATCAGGCCAGCCAGAAACCTACAGTGTTCCATTTTCCAGCAGATTTCCTTCAGTAGGTAGACCCAGGTCACAGAACTATCCGCCAGGGTGAAAGACACCCTCCTCCAACTGACTCATGGGTATCCGGAAAAAGTAAAGGAGTGGGGGAGGAACCAGAAGACGCCTATCTGTCTGCTCTCTGCCGGTGATCAGAGGAGACTGTCAGGGCAGGGGCAGACTGGGGGTGGGGTAGAAAGGAAGCAGGTGCAAATGGTTCTTTCTCCGAGCACTGAGCTTGGGGGTGAGGTGGAAGAGAGAGCAGAGAATGTGGAAAATGTTGTCTAGACCTCTAGGAAGTAAAAGAAGGTTTAGGATGTTCTTTCCCAAGTCACTGATGTAAAACAGTAATTTCAGAGTTTTTGTCAACAGTGTAACTACATTTACTCACCCCCTGAAAACTGCCAGCTCTCAAAACCCTTGAGAAATACTGTGAGCCCCATCCCATAAGCCATACCAGCAAGGTTCCTCCCATTTCTGGTCTTTCTTGGGACTCCGCCCGCCCAAGGTCCTCTTTGGACAGCCTGGGACACCAGACTAAGTAGCTTTTAAACTGGACGTTTGAATCCCAGCTCCAATACTGCCTACCCACTGGGCCTGGGCCAGTCATGGAATTTTTCAGAGCCTAATTCTCTCCATATGCCAATAAGGATTCAGACAAAAAGTTTGCATGGTACATGAGATACCATATTTGCTCAATAAGAGACAGTTATTAAATATGATTGACTCACCAGGAGACAAGTGGGCTTTTCTCTCCTGTGGCCTATGGGGATCCAAACTCTCTACACTGCTGGAGTCGGACTGTAATTTACCCGAGGGCAGAGATAGCACATGTCTTGCTCCCTTCTGTATCTCTATCACCTGGCTTGTGCCTGGCACATAATGAGAGGTTCTATAGATTTTTGTTGACTCACTGATGGACCCACTGAGGGAGCCGGGGGCCTAAGATCCTGGAAACTCAGTTCAGGCTCTGGTGCCTGGAAATATATGGCTTGTCTTGTTCCAATTGTCCTACCTATTCTCATCCAGGCAGGCCCCTTTTTGATGATCTTGTCTCCAAAGAGCAGTGAAAAATGCCTGAATAAGGGCTTGAGCACGTGAGGTTTCTCACTTAAATTCATGAGTTTCTAGCAACCAACTGACATCCTAGCAACAAGCGGTAGCAGAGATGTTTACCCCTCTCATGAAGAAAGGGGCCCATCTCCTACCCAGAACCCAAGGGGTTTTTCTGTGCAAGCTGTCTCTGAGATGGAGAAGCAGTCCTCTCTCCCTTTCCCTCCCACGTCCTCCCATTCTCTACTCCTTCACAGAAAGCAAGATACATATGCACCTGCAGACCTCCTGAGGCCCCTCTCTGCCCACGTTTGAAGTAGAGGGTGGTGGTTCTGGATTCGAGCCTTCTCTCAGGGGCCCCAGGCTGAGCGGTACTGGGCGGAGCCAGACAAGCTTCTCTACAGGCTGGCGGGCTGCTGGGAGTTGCTTCGTGCTTCTTTGAGGGGAAAGACAGAGACTGACATGGAGCCGGGGAAGCATCTGGCTGGCCTCATCTTGGCTGTCACTCTTCTTCAAGGTACGGGGTTCTGGTAGTCTGGAGAAAGGCTCAGGGGAAGAGATCATTACCGGGAAAGAAAGGGTATTGGTTTCTCTAACCTCAAGGCTACCTCAGATGTCACACTAGAATTCTGAGAAAGAAGGGCAAAATGAAGCCTCTTATTGTTCTCTACTAGAGAGAAGCAGTGTCCAGTGGGAGAGATGGGGTCCTTGTCTCTTAAGAAATGAAAATAGCAGATTTTACTGGCTAGAGGGAAGACCCGGATGCCACCATCTTAGGTTGAATGTAGCCCAAAAGGGCACAGGCTGGGGACCTGAAAAGAAAAAGTGTGTGTTCCTTAACTCAGAGCTGGAATTAGGGGGAGACCTATAAAGCACTCACCCAGTTGGTCATAGGGCCAACAGGTCAACAAATAGGAGTGAGATCCTATTACATGATAGGCTAGGAGGATATAAGGAAGGATAAGAACCTTCTGCCCTAGTGAGCTTATAGTCTAATTGGAGAGAGAAGCTTCAGTGTCACTAGACTAAGTGTAAGGTACAATATAGGATGCCTGGATGAATATTCTGTTGGGCATAAACAATGGGAAGTGGATGACCTGGGTTGATGCCTGGAATCTGGACTAGAGATGGTTCTCCACATGCTGAGGAAAACACAAAAGTTGCTGAAATCATACAAGGACTACGTGAGATGTGAGGAAGAGGGCCTGAGGATGGAACCGAGGGGATATTAACCTTTAAAGGGTAGTTAGAGGGGCGCCTGGGTGGCTCAGTGGGTTAAGCCTCTGCCTCGGCTCAGGTCATGATCTCAGATTCCTGGGATCGAGCCCCACATCAGGCTCTCTGCTCAGCAGGGAGACTGCTTCTCCCCTGCTCTCTCTGCCTGTCTCTCTGCCTACCTGTGATCTCTGTCTGTCAAATAAATAAATAAAATCTTTTTTAAAAATAAATAAATAAATAAATAAATAAATAAATAAAGGGTAGTTAGAGAAAAACATCTCACAAAAGAGATAAGAGGATGATCAAAGAGCTGGAATAATCAGATGATGCAATACCAAGGGAGCAGAGAACTTCCAAAAGGAAAGAATCACCAATAATGAAATATTATAGAGACTTCCTGCTGACAGAAGAATATATTTAAAAGTTTAAGTCTGTGGGATTTAACAAAATAAAGGCCACGATTGATTTATAACCCTTTCACTGGAGTAGTATACGAGGAAACCGAATGGAAGTGTATAGAAGATGAGGACGGTGATAAAGTACCAAGTGTGGACTGTCTTTAAAGATGTTTGGATGAGGGGCACCTGGGTGGCTCAGTGGGTTAAGCCGCTGCCTTCAGCTCAGGTCATGATCTCAAGGTCCTGGGATCGAGTCCCGCATCGGGCTCTCTGCTCAGCCGGGAGCCTGCTTCCCTCTCTCTCTCTGCCTGCCTCTCCGTCTACTTGTGATTTCTCTCTGTCAAATAAATAAATAAAATCTTAAAAAAAAGAGACGTTTGGATGAGAAGAGAGTTTGAGTGGTAAATAGAAAAGGACATAGGATCTAAGATGAAATATTTTTGAGTGTGAGAGAAATGTGAGCCCATTTCTAGGCTAAAGGAAAACACAGAGAGTAGAGCAAGTTCCTGGAGTTGATGTTGAAAGGATGGAGTCGAGAGTGGGGTCAAGGACGCAGAGGAGAAGGCAAGAGAGAGGAAGTGCAAATGGCTTTGGCCATAGGTAGGTGTGTAGTTGGGAGGGAAGCTGGAGAAGGTCATTATGACATCTACGTTCTCAATGACCTAAGTGGCAGATGATGCCACTTGCTAAAACTGAGCTTGTTGTTCCTGAGCGGGGGACTCAAGGAGAACAGTGAGAGTTTAGAATGATTTCTGCAGGAAATGGGAGAAGAGCCACTGAAGACCACACGTGGAGGGGCAGGGCTGAAAGCCTGTGTAAAGCAGCTAGATATAGCAGAAAGAGCAGTGGAAACCTGAACTCTGGGTCCAGAGCAGCCACCAGTGAGCTGTGTGAACTTGGATGATCCCTCCTTCCTATGGGCTCTGTCCTCTTACCAGTCAGCCTAGGAAATTTGGCTACATGAGCACTCAAATCCTAAAAAGAAAGAAGACTCACAGAAGCAAAATTAAAGGATGTTAGCAATCAGTTGGACCCTCTCTCCTATAGAATCTGAGTTAGAACAAGGGGTCCCTTTGTCCCTCCCATGGTGATCAGGTGGTCAAGGAGGGCCACTGGTGAGAAATCTGCTTAACTGTTTGCCTTGCCTTTTTTTTTTTAATTCACTCATTCATCCATTCATGCACTCATTCAACAAATATAAAGCTACCATGTTCCAAACTCTGTTAAGTACAATTAATAACCATTTCAGTCTTGCAAGAAGTTCTAAAACAGCTGACTCCTTCCAACTGTTTCCATACTTTTTTTTCCCTTCATACTTTGATTCATGCTTCATCTGTCCCCACCATACACTCCACCTCTAGACACACTACCTCTCTGTTCTTTTCCAACCTGTGTCTTTGCTCAGCTCCTCCTTCTCCCCAGGATGCCTTTTTCTGTCCAGCAAACTCCCAATCATTCAAGTTCCAACCAAATGTCACTTTCTCTGTTAAGTTTTCCCTGTCCCTGACTCTTGGGCAAAATCAATAGCTTCTAGCCCCTTTCAAATGCATTCGCATGAATACTAAAGATAATTTTTATATTCTATTATGTTAATTACATCGGTGTTTATTTTTCCTGCTTCACTGTAAACTCTTTGGAGGCAACAAGTTAGTTCTTTGTATCGCCATTCCTGTCTTTCACACAGCTAATCACGTCAGGTACGTCAGCATATGTGGTAAATGTTTGCATTCAATCCAATTGAACTGAATTCTGGTGCTACTTCTTTGTAGTACAACAATGAACGCAACTCCACTACTCTTGAGTTTTGAGACAGATTTGAAGGCTATTGAATAGCTACTCCCCACCCCAGGACGTCCAGGGTTTCTACAAAAAAAATGGATTACCAAGGCTGAGGATTTTAGACATACTCAAAGAGCCTTTAGTTCATGTAAACCCACTTTTGATGGAGTTTTAGCTGCTAAAAAAAAAGCAGAGCATTCCAGACCATGCATGCAATACTTTGATGTATGTTGCTGTATAGTTCTGATGCTAACCATCCAGAATTAACATCAGACCCCACAGGTCAAGGGCACTGTGCCCAACAAGACTGCCCTCCCTTTGAATTCCAGGCACAAGTTCAGGGGTTCCTATACCACCTAAACTTCTGACAAACTGGGTACAAACCTGGAGGGTTCCCAGATTTGACAACTGGTTACAACAACTCACAAAACTCAAGAAAGCACATATTTACTATTACAGCTCAAGTTTTTAAAAATGGATTTATTTGGGATGCCTGGGTGGCTCAGTTGGTTAGGTGGCTGCCTTCGGCTCGGGTCATGGTCCCAGCGTCCTGGGATTGAGTCCCACATCGGGCTCCTTGCTCAGCAGGGGGCCTGCTTCTCCCTCTGCCTCTGCTGCCACTCTGCCTGCCTGTGCTCTCTCTCTCTCTCTCTGACAAATAAATAAATAAAATCTTAAAAAAATAGATTTATTTATTTACTTACTTACTTACTTGTTTGAGAGAGAGCATGAGCAGAGTGAGGGGCAGAAGGAGAGGCAGGCTCCCCACTGAGCAGGGAACCCCAACCTGGGGCTCAGTCCCAGAACTCCGGGACCACGACGTGAGCTGAAGGCAGATGCTTAATGACTGAGCTACCAAGGTGCCCCTTTACTATTACAGTTTAATTATAAAAAATAAAATTAGCATTTTTCCAAATGAAGAGATGCGTAAGGTCTGTGAAGGCCCTGAACACAGAGTTCCTGTGCCCTCTCCCTGTGGAATCAGAATATATCACCCTCCTAGTACATTGACACATTCACCAACAAGGAAGCTCCACTGAGAATTTTATTTCCCTTGACTTTGGGGGGTTTTTTTAGAGAAAGAGGGAGCAGTGGGAGAATAGATGGAGAGGTTGGGAATCTCAAGCAGGCTCTGTGCCCAGCACAAAGTCCAACACGGGACTTGATCTCACCACCCAGATATCATGACCTGACCTGAAACCAAGAGTCAGATGTTCAACCAACAGAGCCACACATGGGCCCCTCCACTGAGTTTTTGTTTTTGTTTTAAGATTTTATTTTGTTATTTTTCAGAGAAAGAGAACAAGCAGGGGAGAGGCAGGCAGAGGGAAAAGGAGAAGCAGGCTCCCCACTGAGCAGGGAGCCCAATGTGGGGCTCAATCCCAGGATCCCGGGATCTTGACTGGATCCAAAAGCAGACACTTAACCAAATGAGCCATACAGGTGCCCCTCCACTGAGTTTTTACTGGAGTTTCACGAGATACGTATAATTGATTGAATTGTTGACCACGTGACTGAATTCAGTCTCCAGCTCCTTCCTCAGCCAAGGCTCAGATTCCAGATTACACAGGTCTTGACCAGCCCCATCCTGAGTCATCTCATAACACAAATTCATGTATGGTCCAAAAGACCACCAAGGGGCACCTGAGTGGCTCAGTCGGTTGAGCGTCCAACTCTTGATTTTGGCTCAGATCATGATCACAGGGTTGTGGGATCAAGCTCCGAGTGGAGCTCCATGCTCAGCAGGGAGTCTGCTTCTCTCTCTCTCCCTCTCCCCTCCCCCTACCATATGCTCTCTCATGTTTTCTCGCAAATAAATAAATAAATAAATCTTTAAAAATAAATAAATAAATAAGCCCACCAAGAATAACACAGACACTCCTATCACTCATGAAATTCCAAGGGTTTAGAAACTCCTTCCCAGGAATCCATGACAAAGACCAGACAAATTCTTTATTATACAATACCTTGAATTCAGTTTGGTGATTTAGGCTACAACCCAGGGAGGTAAGTATAGATACTGCCCACTCTTACATTAGGATATCTATCTTGGCCTTGAATGACCAAGGAAATGATTACCTCAGGGCATCTGGACAATTCTATACCCAGCTAATCCTCTGTCTCTCTTCTGTCTCTATAGGTACTACAGCCGAGAAGAAACAAGGTAGTGTGAATGGCTTCTTTCTATCCTCAAAGTCTGAGGAAATTCATGGAAATATGGTTCCTACACTAGTAGTCCTATAGGACTGAGTGACAGAAGGGATGGGATGATGGGTAATAATGGCAGTCAACCAAACGACTGGCCAGTCATGATCTTTCTGGGCAGCTTTCCTGAAGCCAAGCAATTAGCTCTCTAATTCTTGGAGTAGAAACAGGACCCCAGCAGCTAGGCACTGTTCAAAGTGGGACCCATGAACCAACACCACGGGCATCAAGTTAGAAATGCTCCATTTCAGCTCTTTCCCAGAACTACTAAGCAGAATCTGAAATTCTCACTAGGTTGCCCATGTGAACCATGTGCACATCAAAGTTTGAGAAGAGCCGCTACAATGGTCTTGTCCTGATACCTCGAGGCAGGGAAAATTTCAGAGGAACGATCCTTAACAGACGATGACTTTTCCCTTTTCAGAAGTTCCTGTGGTAAAACTGGATGACAATCGAGAAGATGGTTCGGTACTTCTGATTTGTGTCTCAAAAGACACAAAGATCACATGGTTTAAAGATGGGAAACAAGAAAATTCCTCGACTAATACTAAGCTGAATCTGGGAAGCAGTATCAAGGACCCTCAAGGGATATATCAGTGTAAAGGATCAGAGGGCTTTTCAGAACCACTCCAAGTATATTACAGAAGTATGTAATCCCCTTTGGTTTGTTTGTTATCTAATTAAGCAGTACTCGCTAATCTGGTGGGCTTCCTATCCCTGGTGAGTGTGGGGATAGACACTAACCAGTTCTCATTCTCTCAATCTCAGCTTGCCTCTTTTTGAATATAACAAGACAGTTCCCTCATCTTCTTAGAAAAGCATACCTGGTCCTGTAAAGCCTGGTTTAATTCTGGATAGGCAGCCATGGATTGGAGCCGTCATCCATTCATATAAACTGAGTTGGGGTAGTTCAGGGAGACAGAGGAGATTACAAGGTGAGCAGCAATGAAATGTAGAAGGCAGATGACCACAGAGAAGGGGATCTGATCTTCCTTCTATTTCACATATTTCCTGATGGTCAGACTTTATAGGTTTCCCCAGAATGCCTGGGGGGTGGGGGGATATCAGGAAGTGTTGCATGTTTAGTCCCAGGATCTTCCCAGGCAATTCCCCTAACATACCTTGCACAGAGAGAGGAGTCTGCTACCCTAGGTGGAGGCATTAGCACGTGTAGGCAAGAGAAAAAGATTCAGGAGAACCACTTTCACACCCTGAAGGCGCCTTGTCCCTCCCTTTCCCCATAGTGTGTCAGAACTGCATTGACCTGAACGCAGGCACTGTATCCAGCTTTGTCTTCGCTGAAATCGTCAGCATTTTCTTCCTTGCTGTCGGGGTTTACTTCATTGCTGGACAGGATGGAGTTCGCCAGTCCAGAGGTAAAAAAAGAATGTTCCTCAGTGAGAAATGAGACCACCGGGGACCCTCAGTTTCCTTCCTACCAAAGTAGACCCAATAGAAGAGATGAGGTGGGCACGTGTTGACATCTAGCCCATCTGGGTGAAAAGGACCCTGTTGTGTTCACAGCATATTTACCTGTCTCAAGAACCACCTCCCTCTGATTTTCCTCCAATTCCTCTGAATTTAAAAAAAAAAAAAACAACTCTTTAATTGAACTAAGACCTACAGAAAGAAACATGCATGAATGGCAGGCATACAGCTAAACAAGCAAACACACCCATGAATCCAAGACCCAGTTCAAGAAAGAGAGTATTACCCACACCCTAGATGTCCCCCTTGTGGTCAATTCCAGCTTCTACCCATCCCCCAAAACCAGTATTATCCCGACTTGTAACAACATTGATTAATTTTGCCTGTTTTCATTCCTTATGTCAAGGCACTCATACAAAAGTACTCCTGTGTGTGTGCTTCTGTTAGTCAAAAAACATGCCTGTGAAATCTTTCCACCTTGTTGTAGTTCACTCACCCTTATTACTATTTAGTACTCCAGTGTGTGAATATAACCCAATTTCTTAGCCTACCTTGTGTTTTTTTGTTTGTTTGTTTTTTGTAGCTTCAGACAAGCAGACTCTGTTGTCCAATGACCAGCTTTACCAGGTAAGGGAGGGGGGAATGAATAATTACTATAATTGATAGTACAATTTGGGGGTGGGGGACAAGTTATTCAGAGGAGACCATACAGATAAGGAATTGCTTAGGGCATAAAGGTTGATTACATAGTCACACTTTGGGTAGAATGGATGAAATGAAGAGAAAGGTTGAGAGAGACTAAGGTCTGGATCCAGTGAGAAAAAGTTGAAGAAACAGGGAGAGGGACACACAAAGAAACTGTATACAGAGAGCCTCCAACCTCCTTGCCCTCTTTCCATCCCCAGGACCGTGAAGCACCCACTCCAAAGCCTTGCACACGAAAAGCATTCAATAAATGTGCATCAAATTAATTCACAGATGAGGAGGGAAAATGAGTTTATGACTGTGCTGTTCTTTTTAGCCCCTCAGGGATCGGGAAAATGACCAATATGGCCACCTTCAAGGAAAGCAATTGAGGAAAAATTGAACTCAGGACTCAAAGTAGGTATGTCCTTCTACACCAGTTCTAAGAAATTACCTTTTCTGGGGCGCCTGGGTGGCTCAGTAGGGTAAGTGTCTGATTCTTGATTTTAGCTTGGGTCATGATCTCAGGGTTGTGATATTGAGCCCTGCACTGGGCTCTGTGCTCAGCGCAGAACCTGCTTAAGATTCTCTCTTTCTCTCCCTCTCCCTCTCCCTCTCCCTCTGTCCCTCTCCCCCAGCGCCTGCTCTCTCTTAAAAAACAAAACCTTTCTTTTACCTGCCTTCCCATCTGTTGCCAAGCCTATCTCCTTTTTCCAAGAAGCTATAAGCTTAGGGGAGGGTAGGTGACTGATAGTTCTTTGTCGTGAGGGGACTATCCTGTTCATTGTAGGGTTGTCAGCAGCATCCCTGACCTCTCTCCACCAGATGCCAGTAGTACCCCCAGATGTAACAACCAAAAATATCTCCAGATATTTCAAGTGTCTCCCCCAGGGCAAAATCAGCATTCATTACAAACCCCTGACCTCTATTAACCTCTCGATCAACCAATCAAGCAATCAGGAGTTCTGATTCAATCAATCAAGTTTCAATCAAGAAAACAGGACCCAAGCATTATTTGGTTTTCTGAACCAATCCCAGTTTTTCTTTTTTTCAATCCAGGTGTTCTCCATGCTGGATAGATCCCAGAAACATGGCATTACACTTTGGAACACTCCTAGCGGAGAGACTTTCAGCCCTAATTCTAGACTCAAGTTTCCCAAAGGTGACAAATGGAGAAGAAAGTCCATCAGAGCAAATATGGATTTTTCTCAAAATAAAACAAAAAGGAAAGTAAAAATATGTATAGTGTTGCATGAGCGCCACCTATTGGGAGGTAATTTTCCTGTAAAAGAAAATTGCAAAGGTCCCATAACCCCCTCTATTTGAATATCACTTTTTAAACTTCTAATTTTTATTTATTTTCTGTATGTCATAATTTACATCGTTCAAATATGCAATGAAAGGTCTCCCTCCACCTCCATCCCCAGCCATTCAGTTGTCCTTTCCAGAGACAAACAATATACTAGTTTCTTATGTATCTTTATAGGGTAAATATATAGGTATTTAAATCAGAGGTATTCTAGGCATACATGAGCAAACTCTCTTTTTTTTCATAAGCACTCTTAAGTACACATTACTCTTCCCTTCCCTATTTTTCACACAAATGGTGTCATACTATACATCTTGCACTTTTCACCTAATAAACCTTAAGATTATTTCATATCAGTAAGTAAAGCAGTCTTTTTTAAATGCAACCACATGACATAGACTCGCTATGATTTATTTAATCACCCCCCCATGGATAGACAAAATATTGCTGCCAATATTTTGCTCTTGCAATGCTGCAATGACCAACGTTGTATAAGTGTCATTTTAAAAATAATTTTATAGGGGGTGCCTGGGTGGCTCAGTTGGTTAAACGACCTGGGATCGCATCCAGCATTGGGCTCCCTGCTCAGCGGGAAGTCTGCTTCTTCCTCTGACCCCTTCCCCTCTCATGCTTTCTCTCTCTCAAATAAATAAATAAAATCTTTTAAAAAAATAAAAAATAAATAAAATAAATAAAAATAAAGGGCACCTGGGTGGCTCAGTGGTTTAAAGCCTCTGCCTTTAGCTCAGGTCATGATCCCAGGGTCCTGGGATCAAGCCCCACATCAGGCTCTCTGCTCCACCAGGAGCCTGCTTCTTTCTCTCTCTCTGCCTGCCTCTCCACCTACTTGTAATCTCTGTCAAATAAATACATAAAATCTTTAAAAATAAATAAATAAAAATAAAAATAATTGTATAGGGGCTCCCAGGTGGCTCTGTCATTAAACATCTGCCTGTGACTCAGGTCATGATCCCAGGGTCCTGGGCGTGAGCCACTGGTTGGGCTCTCTGATCAGATGGAAGCCTGCTTCTCCCTCTCCCTCTGCTTTGTGTTCCCTCTCTGCTGTGTCTCTCCCTGTTAAATAAATAAAATATTTAAAAAATAAAAATAAAAATAATTGTGTTGAGATATAATTTACATGCTATAAAATTCAGTCATTTTAAGAGATTTTCCCTGTTCTCAGTGACTTTTACAAAATTTACCCAGCTGTGTAATCACCATAATCATTAGAACCTCATCCTCTTAAGATTTCTTCTGCTGTTTGGTTTGCAGTTATTCCCTGTTTCCAATCTCAGCCCCAGGCAACCACTAATCAATCTCTTTTCTGTCAGATTTGCCTTTTCTGTACATTTCATATAAATGGAATCATACAATATGCTGTTAATTATACAATGTGTTGGACATTTTCATGCTAGTCTTTTTGTGGACCCCACGTCTTCATTTCTCTGGGGTTGATACCTGGGAGTGAAGAATTGCTGGGTTGTATGACAAATTTATGTTTAACTTTTTAAAATTCCCTGTACCATTTACATTCCCACTAGCAATGGATGAGGGTTTCTATTTCTCCAAATCCTCACCAATATTTGTTACCTTATTTTTTTTTTTAGTATAGCCATTCTCCTAGGTATAAAATGGTATCTTATTGTACCTTAATTTGCATTTCCCTAATAACTAATGTTATTGAACATCTTTTCATATACTTGTCCGCCATTCTTTTATCTTTGGTGAAATGTCTATTTTAAATCTTTTTTTTTTAATTTGGGTTGTTTGTATGTCTTACTGTTGAATTGAAAGAGGTTTTTATATTTTGAATACAAGTCCTTTATTACATATATGATTTGCAAATACATCTACCAGTCTGTGGCTTATCTTTTCATTCTCTTCGTGGTGACTTTTGAAGCCAGAATATTTTAACTTTGATGAAGCTTATTTTACCCATTTTTTAATAGATTGTGCTTTTGGTATCATGCCTAAGAAATCTTTACCAAACCCAAGGTCACAAAGATTTCTCCTGTCTTCCTTTTATAGTTTCGAAAGTTTCATAGTTTTATTGCTGACAGATGTCATTTTGAACATACTTAGGACAATTCATGACAAATACAAATAAATGAGATTTGGAAGCCATAATGTATTTGCACTTGTAATTTTATTAAATATTGACAAATTGCACTTCATGGAGGTTACTCCCAATTACAATAATTGAGAGTGCTTTTTGCTCCGTATTTTTTGAACTTTGCCAATCTGATAAGTTAAACATGGCATTGGGACACCTGGGTGGCTCAGTTGGTTAAGCTGCTGCCTTTGGCTCAGGTCATGATCCTGGGGTCCTGGGATCGAGTCCCGCATCGGGCTCCTTGCTCGGCAGGGAGCCTGCTTCCTCCTCTCTCTCTGCCTGCCTCTCTGCCTGCTTGTGTGTACTCTCTCTCTCTGACAAATAAATAAAATCTTTAAAAAAAAAGTTAAACATGCCATCTCAGTATAGTTTTAATTTATGTTTTCCTTATTAAAAAAATAGAAGTGAACCATGTGTTTTTCCTTCTCATGATATATAGGGTCATATTCTTTTATCTTTTTCTTATTGACTTGCAACAGCCCTTTACATATGTGGGAAACTAGATCTTTTGTTTGTGATATTAGTTGCAGATATTTTTCCAATTTTGGTATTCGTTCTTTGACTTGATGATGATTGGTTTTCTGTGTACATTTTATTTACCTGCATATAGTAGAATTTACTGGTCTCTTGCAGCTTCTAGGTTGTTTCCTATTTAGAAAGGTCTTCCCCAATTTAAGATTTTTCTTTCAAGGCACCTGGGTGGCTCAGTCAGTTAAGCATCTGTCTTCAGCTCAAGTCATGATCCCAGAGTCCTGGGATCCAGCCCCATATTGGGCTGCCTGCTCAGTGGGAAGTGCTACTCCCAACTGCTCATTCTCTCTCTCAAATAAAGAAATAAAATCTTTTTTTTAAAGATTATTATTTTTATTTTTTTTTTAATTTTTTTTTTTAAGATTTTATTTATTTATTTGAGAGAGAGGCAGTGAGAGAGAGCATGAGCGAGGAGAAGGTCAGAGGGAGAAGCGGACTCCCCATGGAGCCGGGAGCCCGATGCGGGACTCGATCCCGGGACTCCGGGATCATAACCTGAGCCGAAGGCAGTCGTCCAGCCAACTGAGCCACCCAGGCGTCCCTAAAGATTATTATTTTTAAAAAGTTTTCCTATGACTTCCTCTGACCTTTTTATGGTTTCATTTTATACATTTAAATGAATGATCCATCTTGCATTAATTTTAATGTAAAGGCCTAACATACTAACTTGCACACTGCATAGCTACCCAGTCATTCCAGAACTACTTTTTGAATTATCCCTCTTATGCCCATTGATTTTGGGGTTTTTTTTTTTTAAGATTTTATTTATTTATTTGACAGAGAGAGACAGTGAGAGAGGGAACACAAGCAGGGGGAGTGGGAGAGGGAGAAGCAGGATTCCTGCCCAGTAGGGAGGCCATGTGGGTTTCAGTCCCAGGACCCTGAGACAAAAACCTGAGCCAAATGCAGACACTTAGCGACTAAACCACCCAGGCACTCCATGCCCATTAATTTTAAGTTACCACTCCACCCTCACGAGACTGTAAGCTCCAAGCAGGAAAAGTCTTGTGTACTTTTTACTAATGTATCTTCAGAAACTAGCATAATGCTGGAATAAGACAAGAATTCAAAGATTGCACAGTGCTGTGTGTGGGTGTATAGATGGGTGGGAGGCGAAATACACATAACATGAAATTTACCATTTTAAATATTTTAAGTGTACTACTCAGTGGCATTAAATACAATCACAATGCTGTGCAACCATTACCACAACCATTTCGGGAACTTTTTTCATCACCTTAACTTCTGTACTCATTAAAAAATAATTCTCCATTCTTCCCTTCCCCCAGACCCTGGTAACCTCTATTCTACTATTTTATCCCAATGAATTTGCCTATCCCAGGTATAACATATAAGTGGAATCATACAGTATCTGTCCTTTTGTGTCTGGTTTTTTTCATATAACATAATGTTTTCAAGGTTTATCCATGTTGTGGCATGTATTCGAATTTCAGCTCTTTTAAGGCTAGATAATAGTCAATTGTATGTATATACCACATTTTGTTTATCCATTCATTTGTCAATGCACATTTTGATTAGTTTCCCCCTTTTAACTATTATGAATAACATTGTTATGAACATTGATGTACAAATATCTGTTTGAGTCCCTGCCTTCAGTCCTTTGTGGTATATACCCAGAAGCGAAATTGCTGTATCATACAGTAATTCAGTTTAACTATATGAGGAACCACCAAAATTTTCCCAAAGTGCTGCACTATTTTACAATCCCATCAGCGATGCCCAAGGGTTCCTTATTTCTCCTCCTCTTCACCAACACTTATTTTCCAATTTTTTTGTTAATAGACTTCCTCAAGGACGTGAGGTATTATGTCATTGCAGTTTCAGTTTGCACTAGTGTCACCGAGCATCTTTTTCGTGGGCTTATTGGCCATTTGTATATCTTCCTTGAAAGAAAGTCTTTTCAAGTCCATTGCCCATTTTTTAATCACACTGTGGTTTGTTGTTGAGTTGTAGAAGTTCTTTATATATTTTGGACATTAATCCTTTATTAGACATGTGATTTACAAATATTTGGTCTCATTCTATAAATTGTATCTTCACTTGCTCTCTTGAAAAGTATGCTGCTTTCACTGCCTTTGTATACCTCAAAGTAACCTTGTAGCATGCATGTTGCCACCCCTTCACAGATAAAACTGAAAGCCAACGCTAGCATATCTTAGCACACTGCCTGACACCTAATAAGAGCTCGAAACTTTCTATTAGTGTTATTGCTGTTATTCTTGTTGCTGTTGCCTCAGAGATAATGATAATCTATGAAGAGTAACAGAACCTGCTTCAAAAAGGCATGTCACTGGAGGGAAAAATAGAAAGCAAAAGCCCACAGAGGTTGCCAGCAGCGCCCAGGATCACCAAGTCATGGCCCCTTGCAATACACCAGATTTGAAAAACCGCCTAGTGTTTCACCAAACTCCAAACCAACCACCGCCCCCGGACCCGCCCCCGGACCCGCCCCCGGACCCGCCCGGCCGGAGCCCAAGGCCACTTCCGGCCACTTCCGCCCCGCCCAGTCAGCCAGCGCGTGCGCTATGGAGGTGTTTGCGCGCCAGTTCCCAACGCAGAGGGGCACACCCTGTTTCCGGCGCCCGGATGAGATTCCACAAGGCCCGGCGCCTGATCATGACGTAAGTTCCGGTTGCCGTGCCGAGTCGGAAGTGGGAACCCTTCGGCCCCTGAGACTTGTCGTGTCGTCGCTGCTGGCCCTTCAGGCTCTGGTAAGAGGAAATAGCTTGACGGGAGGGGATCGTTGAGTTTGCGATGAGATTTTCTTCTCCTAGCTGAATGCCACTCCAAGTCTCTGCACTCTTGCCTCCAAAATTGCTTCTCCTGTGCCTTCCTGACCCTTGACCCTCTCCCTCGTGAACTTCGACCCTTTCTGATTTGGGACCCCTTTACGGTGCCCCAGCTTCTGGCACCTCTACCCCTTTTGCCATTCCCCTCCAGGAAAAGGCCAGAATGCTGGCCTTGCGTTATCTTTGACTTCCTTTCCTTAGAACGAGCGCCGAGTGGGTGGGTCTCCCTCCTTGCCAGGAATCCCTTATGGAACCTGGAGAGATGAAATGCAAAGCGTAAACAAACAGCCATATGTCAGAGAAGGTGGAATTAAGCACGATTCGCAGCAGTGAAACCAGTTGAATACATAAGGCAAGATATTGACATTTCTTAAGGCAGGTGATCATTTCACTACTCAAAACTGTCCTGGCACTGTGCTTCGTGCTCCCTCACCAGTAGGTCGTGGAGGACACTGATAAGATTGAGTAACCGCAGCTCAGGAGCTTCTATTTGATGGGTCTTCTCTTTGGAATCAGTTTTTTGCTCCCAGAGCAAGGACTCGTTTAGTCTCATTATTTTGGTCTCCTATGGGAACCCTCCTGAGATAAAATGGGACCCCGGAAAGAATGCTGTTGGCTTTTTGTCTTGAGGAGATCCTTCTAGCTTGTTGATCTGTTGTTAGGATTTGTTACCATTCTAGCCAGATGTGAAAGAATTTTGAGGTGGAACATATAACATTGAAAACATTTTAATTCCTTCTTGGTTTAATATCTCACCAGGACAGAGACCTTAAAAAGCATGATTCAGGGGCGCCTGGGTGGCTCAGTGGGTTAAGCCGCTGCCTTCGGCTCAGGTCATGATCTCAGGGTCCTGGGATCGAGTCCCGCATCGGGCTCTCTGCTCGGCAGGGAGCCTGCTTCCCTCTCTCTCTCTGCCTGCCTCTCTGTCTACTTGTGATCTCGGTCTGTCAAATAAATAAATAAAGTCTTTAAAAAAAAAAAAAAAAAGCATGATTCACTAGAGCATGATTTTGCCAGTCCAATTTTACGAAGTATTCTACGTATTTCCCTAAAAGTAATACCAAGTCTGATGTTAAAACATTTGTGTGCTCCTCTTTAAGAGCTGACAATGGTCCTTAGGGATTAGTACTGTTCATAAACAAAAGAGTGAATGGCAGTAGGGAGGGTGAGAGGATTTTGTAGGACTGGAAGTAAATAGCTATTGTAGATGTAAAACGTTGCAGTGAGTATATCAGAGTGAAATGTGCTTTTAAGTAGGACATATTAAAAAGGAATCAACTCTGAGGCGCCTGGGTGGCTCAGTTGGTTAAGTGTCAGATTGCCTCAGGTCATGATCTCTGGGTCCTGAAATGGAGCCCCAGTTCGGGCTCCCTGCTCAGGGGAGCCTGCTTCTCTCTCTCCCAATGCCCTCCCCATCCCCCAACCCCTGGCTCATGCTTTTGTGCAATCTCTCTCTCTCTCTCTCTTTCTCAAATAAATAAATAAATAAATAAAATCTTTTTTTTTAAAGTAATCAAATCCAAGAGCTCCTAAGGTTTGATGGTGGCACCATCCCAAAGACTGACAACAGAATGGTGCTGTATCTCTGTATGGCAGTGGAAAATAAGATATTATAAGTAATTGGTGACATTGAATATTAAAACAGACAAAATATTGGGGCACCTGGGTGGCTCAGTCATTAAGTATATGCCTTCGGCTCAGGCCATGGGTCCCAGGGTCTTGGGATCGAGCCCCATCTCGGGCTCCTTGCTCAGCGGGAAGCCTGCTTCTCCCTCTCCCACTCCCCCTGCTTGTGTTCCCTCTCTTGCTGTGTCCCTCTCTGTCAAATAAATAAATACATAATTTAAAAAAAAAAATCAGGCTTCCATTTCATCAGACCTGTTGGAGTGGGTGATATCTAGGTACTGTTACATTTGTGAGACCATCGAACGTATCTATACTGACATCTCCACAAAGGTTCCCATCAAGTGATCATTCTTCCCTTTTTCTGTGAAACTTTTCCATAAGTGGTTACACAATATTGGACTAGGAAAGTAGTTTGTTCACAGATTTGAAGTTCATATGAGAAGGATAAACTTAGTAAGGTAGGCAGAAATTTTTTGTTTTTCAAAAAGACATATAGCAGAGATGGCAAGAGATTTATTTCCATTCTCTATTCTACACACCCTGAGATACCAAAGAGCCTCAAGTGGCTGACCCAGAAGCTTGACCTGCTACTGCAACCCAAGACACACAGTAAAGCCCTTACCTTGAAGTAGGATCATGGATGCCTTCAAAGGAGGTCAGGAGTAATGACATGTAAGATTAAATCATTTAATAAAGATTTATTTGGGACTTTGTGATTGTGATATATAATTCCAGACACAGAAAAAAAAACTAATCAGATATGAAATTGTACTCAAATTGCTTACTGTCTAGCAAGGTAGAGGTCTGCTTTAGGAATACAACGTAGGAAGTTATAAATCCTATTATAAAATGTAATGGGAAGGGGCGCCTGGGTGGCTCAGTGGGTTAAGCTCAGGTCATGATCTCAGGGTCCTGGGATCGAGCCCCGCATCAGGCTCTCTGCTCAGCGGGGAGCCTGCTTCCTCCCCTCTCTCTCTGCCTGTCTCTGCCTACTTGTGATCTCTGCCTGTCAAATAAATAAGTAAAACCTTTAAAAAAAAAAATGTAATGGGAAGCTAACTTCTTTTTTTTTTTTTTTTAAGATTTATTTTTGTCTTAGAGAGTGCACATGTGCGTGCAGCAGCGGGGGGGCAGAGGGAGAGGGAAAGAGAGTCTCAAGCAGACTACAGTTGAGTGTGGAACCTGACATGGAGCTCCGTCTCATACTCTTGAGATCATGACCTGAGCTGAAACCAAGCACTGGACACTTAACCGACTGTGCCAATCAGGCACCCCAACTTCTTTTTATAATGTAACAGTGTAATATTGAGAAAGGAGGAAATAATGCCATTTATTATCATAAATCCTGTTTATTTGTCTTGATAGTCTTAGGAGTCTATCTTTTCATATGTTCTGTATTCCTGACTTTCACCTTGCTTCCTTTCTACCTCTTGTAGAGGTGCAGATAATGCATCTCCTTTGTATTGTTTGTTTTAACGTATTTATTTGAAAGAGAGAGGAGAGAGAGAGAGAGCAAAAAAGAGGTAGGGAGAGGCATAGGGAGATAGAGAAGCAGGCTCCCCACTGAGCAGGGAGCCAGGTGCAGGACTTAAACCCAGGACCCTGGGATCATGATCTGAGCTGAAGGAGAGGCTTAACACTGAACCACCCAAGTGCCCCAAGATTATTTATTTATTTCTTTCTCAAGGAGAGGACACACAAGCGGGGGCGGGGGGAGGGGGAATCAGCAGGCATAGGGGTAAGTAAGCAGACTCCCCGCTGAACAAGGAGCTGAATGCAGGACTCAATCCCAGGACCCTGGGATCATGACCAGAGGCAAAGGCAGTCACTTAACCTACTGAGCCACCCAGGCGTCCCTAAGATTTTATTTTTAAGTAATCTCTACTCCCAACATGGGGTTCCAACTTAGAAACCCGACATCAAGAGTTGCATGCTCTACTGACTGAGCCAGCCAGGTGCCCCTCAGGCTGTTTTTAAAAGCCCATTCAAACTGGCTTAACACAATATGGGGAAATCTGTTGGCTTTTTTTTTTTTTTTTTTTTAATAACTATAGGACTCTTTTTTTCTCTTTTCTCTCTTTTCAACACTGTTTTCCTCTATCTTGACTTAGTTTGGGGCTAGGCCTCTTCTAGATGGTGGAAAGATGGCAATTCCAGGTTTATTTCTTAACCCTGCTTACCCTTTCTTACCAAGCAGGGAAAAATAGTTCCCTTTTCTGTAGGTTCAGCCAAAGGCCTGAAGCTGGGTGTTCATTGATTCTGATAGGCCTTGTTAGGGTCTTGTGCCCACTCCTCAATCAGTCACTTTGGCCCGAGTATGATGCGTTCTTTTTGGCCAGGCCAGATTTATATGCTCATTCCTGGAGCTAGTGAGTGAGGCCATCCTCTTCTGAACACATGGAGAGGATGGGATGGATCCCCAAAGGAAAAATGTAGGGTGTCACATTGAAAAAAGAGGATGTTTCAAAGACAGAAAATGACAAGAGCTCACTATACTTCTTGCATGCCTCTGGACCTTGGGGTACCTTAGGTTAGAGGTAGGGTGGTGATCAGCCAACAATGAGACAATTATTAGCGTCTCTACGTGAACTAGGGGTAACAGTTAAGTTTATGCAGTGGTTAAGTGAGGGGAAAGTCCTCTCAAGGAGCGTTGTGAATTCCAGTACTAAATGTGCTATTTTTATTTTTGGATTATTAAGCTTTACTAAACTATGCATTGCAAAAAATAAAATATATAGAGCAACAGCTAATAGTTCATTTCCTTAAGCAGTAAAGCCCAGAACAATGCTGAGAGGAGACCAGACTGTATGCCTAAGTACAGATAATTAACCATTAGCTCTTACGCAGAAAACACAACCGAGGAGCAAGAAGCAACTGGTGGAGGTGTCTCAGAATTGTCAAGAAGTGTTAGAGTCTCTCTTCCTCCAAAAAATAAGGGTAACTTTTCCAACTTGCATTAGCTTTTGTTGATACGATTCTGTAGGGAGTCTTATCTCAGGAGATTAAAGGTAGACCCAAAAAATTCTTTTCTCCTTCCTTCATATCCCTTCCCCATTCTTTAAGGCCTCTGTCCTTTTAGCAGTTCAGTATCCTTGTGAGCCAAATATTCATACCCTTTGTCTCTTCCCCACCCTTTTCAGGGTTGTATTTCTGTGCTTGTGGCCCTAAAAGTTCAGGAAGGGGAGAAAGCTTTCAGGGCACTCCACTCATGCACTCATCCCCTTGGGCCTCTGAGTCCCCTTGGCGCTTGAATGAGGAAATGTAATCAGAGGGGTGCAAATGCAGTCAGCTCCGCTAAAATACCTTTGAGGTAGATACCTGCTTGTTTCCTGTTCCACATTAGGAATTTGGTGTGTGAACAATGAATCTTGGAACACTGAAAAAATAAAATAAAATTTTTTTAAAAAAGGAATTTGGTGGCTCAGTGGGTTAAGCCTCTGCCTTCAGCTCAGGTCATGATCTCAGGGTCCTGGGATCGAGTCCCGCATCGGCCTCTGTGCTTGGCAGGGAGCCTGCTTCCTCCTTCTCCTCTCTCCCTGCCTACTTGTGATCTCTCTCTATCAAATAAATAAATAAAATCTTTAAAAAATTTAAATTTAATTTAAAAAGGAATTTGTGTGTGTCGGCAGTATTATAAAAAATCAGATAAGTAGTAGAAATTAAATCTAGGGGGTGCCTGGGTGGCTCAGTGGGTTAGGGCCTCTGCCTTCGGCTCGGGTCATGATCCCCGGGTGCTGGGATTGAGCCCCGCCTCGGGCTCTCTGCTCCGCGGGGAGCCTGCTTACCTTCCTCTCTCTGCCTGCTTGTGATCTCTGTCTATCAAATAAATAAATAAAATCTTTAAAAAAAAAAAAAAGAAAGAAATTAAATCTAGAATTAAGCAAAGACCATTTGGTTTTTAGTGGAAGAAATCTCAATTGTTACAAGCCTCGGAGTAGAGGTAAATTGCCTAATACATACTTAAAACCCACAACACGCTGCTGATTAGGTTCCTGTCCTGATTTGCCATTCCATGTCTGATGTAGGCTTACAGTTTATATGTAGCTGAGGACTTCCTGGCTGCAGTATTAAGTCCTAGAAGCAAGTGCCATCTTATGTTCATGGTGCATGAGAGCTAGTCGGCCGCCCTAGAGACTTACAAGAAATGTGTAGCTGTTAAGCTATTACTTTTCAGTCAATGCCACATTGTTGTTACAATGAGTAGATGAGTTCCCTCATTGACTGCAGTAATTCTTTCTGGTTAGCCTGTTTTTTAAAGGTATGGCAGATAGAAACGTGTCAACAGATAAATGCATTCCAGCTTGAACTTTTTTTTTTTAAGATTTTATTTATTTATTAGACAGAGATCACAAGTAGGCAGAGAGGCAAGCAGAGAGAGAGAGGAGGAAGCAGGCTCCCCACTGAGCAGAGAGCCCAACTTGGGGCTCGATCCCTGGACCCTGAGATCGTGACCTGAGCTGAAGGCAGAGGCTTTAACCCACTGAGCCATCCAGGCGTCCCTCCAGCTTGAACATTTTTAAAGCTTTTTGGTTTTAGCCACCCCCAAATCAGGCCAACTTATCCAGTTGGTGGGTTTGTAACCATTTTGCCAAAAATGCCTTGAATGTTGGAACAGGAATTGGAAGGTCTTACCCAGAGCCTTTTTACATGCGTTGTGTTCACGAAATGGGGAAGGAACCAACTGTAGGTATAATCCCAGCTGTCGTGGTATCCGCCCCTCCTGATACCTGTGTCTGATACCTGTCCTCTTTGCAGCCCCTCCCCCTAGGTCTGCATGGAGGATACTTTAAAGTGAAATGACAGACCAGGAGAATAACAACAACATCTCAAGTAACCCCTTTGCTGCTCTTTTTGGCTCCCTGGCTGATGCCAAGCAGTTTGCGGCAATCCAAAAAGAGCAGCTGAAGCAGCAGTCTGGTAAGTAGGGGAGCCAGTAGCAGCGGAGATGACCTAGATTAGGGTCTTCCCAAGTGAAGTCTTAGGGTCGGTAATTGCAATTGGAATCGACCTGGGGGCACAGGTCGGGTTTTTTGTTCATTTAGGGCATAAATTGGGGGTTTTGTTCATTTTTCTTCTTTGTTTTGTTTTCGGGTCCTGTCCCCACCCCCCCCACCCCCCTGCCAGCTGGGGGGACCAGATAACAGGTGGTTCCATAGTAACAGATGCTAGTCATGATCCCAATCCTGTCGAGCTGTTTATTTTAAAAATCACCTAGCAAAAGCTCATTTCAATCAATCTTTTTAACATAGGAAGCTGAGGTTGTAGCCATAGGTGTAGAAAGCAGGTTACATGCAGCTGTAGAAAGCAGATGTTTAAAAGGAAGAATTACAAAAGCGTTTTGGCTTTTTGGTAGACAAGGAAGTGAAATTTGTTCTGAAGCTTTGTGCTTCAGAGTTGATCGCAAGCAAAATACCTCTTGTATTCCATGGAGTGGCCCCTTTCATAGCATAATGCTGTTAGAACAGCTTTCTGAGAAAATCTGATCCTTCGGGAGGGAGACAAACCAAAAGAGACTCTTAATCTCTCAAAACAAACTGAGGGTTGCTGGGGGGAGGGGGGTATGGACGTTGGAGAGGGTATGTGCTATGGTGAGTGTGTAAGCCTAATGATTCACAGACCTGTACCCCTGGGGCTAATACTACGATATATGTTAATAAAAAATTTAAAAAAATTTTTAAAAAGGAAAGAAAATCTGATCCTTTACCTTAATGTGAAAAAAGAAATCAGTAATATCTCACTAGTCAGAAAACTGGGTTTCCTCATTTAGGACCAAAATTAAGATCGGGTCTAACTTCCTCCTGTGAGAAGACATATAGGCTAGAGGAATTAGGATGGTGTTTCTCAAATTTATGAGTCTTTGGAGGGTAGTCACGATCTTTCAAGCCAGAAATTGCTCCCTTTCTCCCTCTGAAGAGAATAATAGTATTTTTTGGAAAGGAGAAATGTTTGTGCTTTCCCTTTATTTTGTTTATTTTGTAAGTACTGCTATACATAGCTAAGTCGTAGCCTTGCTCCTTTTTCAGGACTGAATAAAAAGGAGGTAAGGGCAAGACAGATGAGTAGTGGACAGGTGATGATGAAGCAAGGGGGGAATATATGTAACGTTGACTTTCTACCGTGATAGAAGGAGGCAGCTCTGGGTCTCCGTCTGAAATCTCTTCCAGATTCTTGCATTAGGAGATCGTAGGAGGAAAAGGGGCATAAGAAAATGGGGAAACGTGATTTATGAGTATGTGGTTGGGGGAAATTTTGCTACAAAGGTTCTTAGCACCTGTCGCTTTCAGGGTTCAGCAGGGAACTTAATCGTATAGGAGTAGAGTGACAGATGCTTGTCCTTCTGGCCGTCAGCAGACTTCAGGCTGGTTAGAGTTGGGAGCGTTGCAGGCACCAAGCCGGGGGATAAGATAAATCAGGTACATGTGTTCCTGTTACTATTTTGGCTTCTCCTCGTTTTAGTTTGTTTACACTGAGTTTAGCATGCCACCAGGTCTAACCTGTTTTCCACCAGCAGTTAGAACTCTGCCAAAACCTTTGGCCTCCTGTGTTGAGTTTCACAGTGACTAAACTCACCATACTAAAGCAGCTCTTAACCTCTGAGTGTTTTACCTGGCCTTTCAGAATAATCACTGTCAGTAGAGAGAAGCAGATGCACACGCATGTGGCTTTTGGTGAACAGCACCACGCTTGTACCCCTTCAGCATCAGTTCCATTCCGAGAGGCAGCTCTGTCTGCTGACAGCCAGAAGGACAAGCATTCTGTCCCATTAACTCCTGTATAGTTAAGTTCTCCTCTGAACCCCGAGAGCGATAGGAACTAAGCATCTATGTAGCAAAATTTCCCTCAGCCACCTACTCATAAATCATGTTTTCCCATTTCCTTATAATTCCTATTCCTCACTCCCCTTTTCCTCCTACGATCTCCTAAGGCAAGGTTGCTTTTTACAGAAGTAAAGAGATCCAATCAATAAAAGAAATAGTAACAAATTAGAGGAGGAAAGATTCAGATAAGCAGTTTATATGCAACAATCAAATGACTTTAAAAATCCAGTCTCGCTAACAATTGGAGCCCCGCCCAGTAATACGGGGATATGTTTACTTATGAAATTTGTGAGGATTTGAGCAGGTGCTCTCTCAGACTGCTGAGGGGTTTGTAATAAGAGCAGTCTTTCTGAGGATGATTTGGTAATAATGTTAACTTTTAAACGTGCAAACTCTTTAACTTGGCAGTTCTGCTTCTACAAATTTACCTTACAGAGATATTTACACAGGCGTACAAAAAAGAGTTTTATTCGGTGCAGTAGTGTTCGAAATCATGAAAAATTGGAAACAGCCCCAATGTTCATCAGTTGAGAAGTAGCTACACAAGTCAGAGTGTGTGCATACAGTGCAATACAATGCAATACAGTGCAGCCATTACACAGAATGAGGTAGGCCTATAAATGACCTAGCAGGGAAGGATGTTGGTGCTGATTAAGTTTATTTTATTTTTTTAAATATTTATTTATTTGATAGAGATCACAAATAGGCAGAGAGGCAGGCAGAAAGAGAGGAAGGGAAGCAGGCACCCTGCTGAGCAGAGAGCTCAATGTGGGGCTCTATCTCAGGACCCTGGGATCAAGACCTAAGCTGAAGGCAGAGGCTTTAACCCACTGAGCCACCCAGGCACCCCAGTGCTGATTAAGCAGGCTGAAAAGCAGTATATATAGTATGATTCCCCCCCCCTTTTTTTAACTGAAAATCCTAGCAATAAACAGCACCAGAATAAGGTGGGGAAAAAGTCTGAAACACTTTGCTAACTTACATAGTTGTCCATAGGGAATTGGTTCAGAGGAGACTTTTTATATTATGTTTTCCTATACAGTTTGGAATTATTCAAATATATGTGTTCTTTAAAATCAGAAAATAAAAGCCATATATTTAAAATAATTAAAGGCATATTGATCTATTACAGGTAATTTTGTGTTCACTAAGATTCTATAGGGAATGCAATATTGCTATTTTTGGTAGTATGGAGTGAAAAAATAAAATGGAGTAGGAGGATAACATTTTTGGTTTGTAAAATGTGGTGGGATTTACAGCCAGGGATTTCAAAATCCTGTACTTAAGATGTTACCCAATACAACTCTCAAGAGAAGGAAAGAAAAAACACACAAATAATCCAGTTTAAAAATGGGCAAAGGATCTCTATAGACATTTTTCCAAAGAAGACATATAGCTGATGAACAGGTACACAAAAAGGTGCTCAGCATCACTCATCATCAAAGAAATGCAAATCAAAACCAGAATGAGGTATCACCTCATACCTTTTAGAATGGCTACTATCAAAAAGACAAGAAATAACAAGTGTCAGTGAGGATGTGGAGAAAAGGAACCCCCCCCCCCCGTGGAACGGTTGGGAGAAAATAAAAATTTGTGGACCCACAAGGAAAAAATTTATAGAGATATTTCAAAAAAAAAAAAAATAGAACTCCCATATAATCCAACATTCTACTTCTGGGTATTTACACAAAGAAAACAAAAACACTAACTTGAAAAGATCTGTGCACCCCTGTGTTTGTTGCAGCATTTTTTATAATAGCCAAGACATGGAAACAGCCTGTGTCTGTTGATGGGTGAATGGATGAATAAAATACGAGACACACACAAACACACACATCACACACACAATGGGATACTATTGCCATTTGCAAAACATGGATGGACCTGTGTGAAATGAAACTGGTCAGACAGGAAAAGACAAATACAAACAAATGTTCTCAGTTATAGGTGATATCTAAAAAAGAGAGAAAGAAAGCTCATAGATACAGAGAACAGATTGGTGGTTGCCCGGGGTGGGGTAGATACAGGGATCAAAAGGATCAGACTTCAGTTATAAAAAAGTAAGCCATAGGGATATAATGAATAGCATGTGACTGTAGTTAATAATAGTATGTTGCATATTTGAAAGTTACTAAGAGAGTAGATCTTAAAAGTTCTCTTCAGGGGGCGCCTGGGTGACTCAGTGGGTTGAAGCCTCTGCCTTTGGCTCGGGTCATGGTCTCAAGGTCCTGGGATCGAGCCCCACATCGGGCTCTCTGCTCAGCGGGGAGCCTGCTTCCCCCTTTCTCTCTCTGCCTGCCTCTCTGCCTACTTGTGATTTCTGTCTGTCAAATGAATAAATAAAGTCTTTATAAAAAAAATGTTCTCTTCACAAGAGAAAACAGTATTTATAACTATGGTGACAGATGTTACCTAGAATTATTGTGTTGACCATTTTGCAGTATATACAAATAGCAAATCATTGTGTTGTATACCTGAAGCTAATAAGAATGTTATACGTCTTTTTTTAAATGTTACACCTCAGTTTTTTAAAAAAGATGTTGTCTGACTTGAGATGTTCCCTAATTAGATAATTAACTTGTTTCCCATCCAGAATTATCTTTCTCTTGATAACATTTATCATTTTTGATAGTATGCTTGGTTCTCTTAAAGAGAGGAGTTTAACTGTTAATGGCTTACATTTTCTGGCAGATGAACTCCCGGCTAGCCCAGATGACTCGGATAATAGTGTGTCAGAAAGCCTGGATGAATTTGATTACTCTGTGGCTGAGATTAGCCGCTCCTTCCGTTCACAGCAGGAAATATGCGAACAACTCAACATCAATCACATGATCCAAAGGATCTTCCTCATTACTCTGGACAACAGTGAGTTACAGACCTGGAGCCGGTCTGTTCATTACTCTTCCCTTCCTGCTTGGGCGAGGAACTTGCTCTTAGAAACTTATTGTATCTTATGGTTAAACAAACCCACTGTACTCCCTGTGGATGTGACCTAAAAGTAGTTTTTAGACACAGGTGCAGCTTTGATTACCATTTTGGTACAGACTAGACCATATAGCTCCTTGCCTTTACCACCTTAAAAGGAAATGCGAGTGGTAGCCAAATCCTTTTTCTTCTCAGAGGTGACTGAACATTTAGACGGGAGCCCGACGAGGTGTCAGGTCATGTTTTCCCTCTATGTCCTATCTGTGGTTAGACCCCAAAGTAGGTGCTAATGTCTGGGATTCATGATGTTAGGTTTATAACAAAACCTGACATGCTCTTTGACTCTTTGAAAAACCTTAAGTCTTTAGATACTGCTTTGTGTGTCAAGATTACCCTGATACTACCTGAGTCAGACTTGGAGTTCAAGAGAAATGCTGTCGAGATCGGTTGTCTGTGTAAGACAGAAGCATTATCCTTAACCTGCCAGATTAAAATCATTTCCCAGGTGACCCCAGCTTGAAAAGTGGGAATGGCATCCCCAGCCGTTGTGTGTATTTGGAAGAAATGGCAGTAGACCTGGAAGATCAAGACTGGCTTGATATGAACAATGTGGAGCAGGTACCATTTCTGATGTTCCTTTCAAGAGTGCCTTCAGCACAGACTAGCCATGCAGTTGAGCCCTGCTCGTGTTTCTCCAGCTGCGACTTTGCTTACGTAACTCTATCTCTTGACATTGTCTGTGGTGTTCCTCTTTGGGGATCTTCTCATTTACCATGGCCACATATCTGAATTCCTGGAGTGACCTATCTGTGCCTCTCGGATGGCAGTTGTCACCTCTGTCACATGTAGTGGCCTTTTTCTATGTACCTGTTTTATCTCTCCTGTCAGACCCTTTAGTTCTCGAGGGCAAGGCCCATGTCTTTATATCTTTCCCAAAATCAAAACTGTGTTTTACCTTGTAAGTGCCTAATGAACATTAAAGAAATAAAACTTCAGTAGGACAGACACTTGACAACTTGTAGTTTAATTTTATGTGTTTAAATTATCTTTATATCTTCATATAAGTCTGAGTAAGGCCAGCAGTCACACAGAGGAGTAAATTCCATGTATAAGTTCAATCGCAGATTCTCCACACCATTCAGCAAATACTGTTTTAATACCTACTGTATGTATGCTAGGGCTGTACTAGAAGCTTGAACTCTATTTGGGAGAACTGTACAGGTGACCCTTGAGCAACATGGGGGTTAGGGTCCGTCGAAAATCCGCACCTAACTTCTGACTCTCCAAAGACTTTAACTAATAGCGTACTGTTGCCAGGAAGCCTTATGGATAAGAAACAATAAAGTCAGCTAGGGAAAAGAAAATGTTACAAAGAAAATCAGAAGTGAGAGAAAATGTATTTACAGTGCTGTTCTGTATTTATTGAAAAAATATCCATGTCAAACCCATATAGTTCAAGGATCAATACATATAGTTATGTTTATATACCTAATATTTTCTAAAGTGTAAGGGCGGAACTTACATTCCCCCTTCACTCTACATCCTGTGACTCTGGCAGTAACCTCTGTCAAAATGACCTACATCTTGATGTCCTGAGATTGACTTTGTAGCGGTTTAGTGTCTTGTTTGTTTGCTTTTCTTGAAGGCTGTCTTCGCTCGCTTGCTGCTTCAGGACCCGGGCAACCACTTGATCAACATGACTTCTTCTACGACGTTGAATCTCTCTGCTGATCGAGATGCGGGGGAGAGGCACATTTTTTGTTACCTTTATTCCTGCTTCCAAAGAGCTAAGGAAGAGGTAAGGAATATTTCCCATTGAGAACTGTGTGGTACTCTTGGGTTTGACTTTAACATGGAAGCCAGAGAGTTGGAGGAGTGTCTTTTATATCAGTTTATATACACCATAATGTAGCGGGAACTAGAAATCAGAGGCACTATGAGTTGTCAAAAGTTTTCGTTTGTATTTTCGGTGGCTTGGGATCTACCCCTTTCCCCAGTTAACCAGGGCCTCCTATTCTCCTACAAACCTGAAAAAGTCATACTCTTAAAAAAGGTCAGGGGAGAGGGGGGAAAAGGTATGATAGACTCATTTCCACTGAGCTGTAAATAGCAGAGTGCGCTAAGCTTGGTCACTTCAGGATAAGAATTCTAGCAGGTAGGAGATTCTTAACACCAAAGAATGAACTCATATGAATTTTCAGGCATCCACAGGACAGCAGTAATGTTCTGGGATACATTGTCTTTTTCCTTCTATTTGCTGTGGTCACCCTTGTTCAGGTCATAGAGCTAGACTCTCCCCTCTCTTCTCCATTCTGTTTCCAGATTACCAAAGTTCCAGAGAACTTGCTCCCCTTTGCAGTGCAGTGCCGGAACCTCACCGTGTCCAATACCCGAACAGTCCTCCTCACCCCAGAGATCTATGTTGACCAGAACATTCATGAGCAGCTGGTAGATTTGATGTTGGAAGCCATCCAAGGAGCCCGTGAGTACATAAGCAGCATCTCTGAGTTTCTACATTTTGGTTCCCAAATTTAAAAGTCCTTTAATTGCGTTAGAAAGCCTCAGAGCCACTATGGTTCCAGAAGTACAAATTAAGGAAGAGAGCTCATATCTTGACCTCTGGGGTTGAATACCAGTAGAATTATCAGAAATGTGAGAAGGGTAGAGAGCCTGCGTGTAAAAGCATATAAAAATCACCACAAGCTTCTTTTCCTCTCATTTGTCATCTGTTAGATTTTGAAGATGTAACTGAGTTTCTCGAAGAGGTCATTGAAGCCTTGATATTGGATGAGGAAGTGCGCACATTTCCAGAAGTCATGATTCCAGTGTTTGATATTTTATTGGGCCGAATAAAAGATCTAGAACTCTGTCAGATCCTGTTTTATGCATATCTGGATATTCTTCTCTATTTCACTAGGCAGAAGGATATGGCAAAGGTAGGTTTGAAAGTGGTACATACGCATTTGCACTGGAGGTTTAATGCTTTATGGGTCCCTGTCCTGAATGTGCTGTAATATTACCTGTTGAATTAAAAAAAGATACATTGGTTGTTGTATGGACTTAACTTTTTGAGATCTTCTCACCCCACTACCTTTATCTCCTCATACAGACGAATAAGTAGGACTTGTTTTCTCCTTTAGGTTTTTGTAGAGTACATTCAGCCCAAGGACCCTAGCAATGGGCAGATGTACCAGAAGACCTTGCTGGGAGTAATCCTGAATATCTCCTGCTTATTAAAGACTCCAGGTGTAGTAGAAAATCATGGCTACTTCCTGAATCCATCTCGTTCCAGTCCCCAGGAGATCAAAGTGCAAGAGGCCAACATCCATCAGGTGGAACTGTTTACCACTGTCTCCCAGCCCCCTAATCCTAGGTGAAGTCGCGTTTCCTCGGGAAGCAGATGCAGATAAGGCCGCTTGAGCCTCTTTGGGGAAGCAGATCAGTCTGCTTGGCTTTCTTCTGTAATCACGTAAAGAAATTGTCCTCTTTTCAGCCCAGGCTCAGGGCAGAGGAGAAGCCGGTGCACAGTTTTAGAATAAGCTGCTGCGGCTCTTTGCCCTGTGCTGGGGCCCAGCCACTTCCCCTCAGCCCCTGCTGTTGACACCAAGCTGTCTCTTACAACCTGGGCTCCTAAAATCTTCCAACTGAACTCCAGCATATAAACCGAATTTTTTTCCTTTTCTTCCTTCCACCAACGTCCTCTCCATTTGGGCTTCTTAGTGAGAATTCTAGCAGAGGTCTGGCCAACATGAGGCCGTAAATGGTTGACCCATTTAGGCAGGAATTGGCAAATCACTGCAGTGGCCAGATCCGGCCTGCCACCTGTTTTGGTAAATAGTTCTGTTGAACACAGCCTTGGCCATTCATATGCATGTTGTTTATGGCTTGATTTCATGCCACAGTGGTAGAGTTGGAGTAGTTGCCACAGTCAGCATATGGCTTGCAAAGCCAAAAATACTTATCATCTGGCCCTTTGCGGACAAAAATTTACTGACCTGTAAAGCTGTGTAAATGCTGTCTGCAGCTTGGCAGCTCGTCGGGGAATCAATCTCTCATAAATGCCCAGAAAAAAAAAATTTTTTAATCGGAACCGGGGTATAAAGCAAAGGGAGAGTGAGAGAGAAGATTAGGATTAGGATATTTTTGGAAATTGCCAGTGGCTAAGGTTTGGGAGAAACAAATATGAGGATTGTGAAACTGGAATGTTCTGTGGTTGTGTTTTCTGGTTAAACAGTTCATGGCTCAGTTCCATGAAAAGATCTACCAGATGCTGAAGAACTTACTCCAGCTCTCTCCAGAAACCAAACACTGTATCTTGTCCTGGCTTGGAAACTGTTTGCATGCAAACGCGGGCCGCACCAAGATTTGGGCCAATCAGATGCCAGAAATCTTCTTCCAAATGTATGCCTCGGATGCCTTCTTTCTGAATCTGGGTGCTGCTCTCCTGAAGCTATGCCAGCCGTTTTGCAAACCCAGATCCTCTCGGCTCCTCACCTTTAACCCCACTTACTGTGCCCTGAAGGAGTTGAATGATGAAGAACGAAAAATTAAAAATGTGCACATGAGAGGTAGGGGGGAACTGGGCTTCTCAAGATGGTGTGTGCACACGCGCGTGCTCATATGTGTATGTGTGTGTGTAACATCTAAGACATCACGTTTATCCGTTTTCACAAAGGTGCCTCTTTCTCAAGACGAGGCAAAAAGCAAAGCTAGTATAAATTTTAAGAAGACAGATGTCTAAAATGGTAATTTTTAGATACTGTGCTTTCGTTAGATTTTCTTTCTGAATTTAGCAGCCTTTGGGTATTGATTGATTCATTCTTTCTAAAAATAATAAAGCACAGTCACTGTTTTGTCTTTCAACCCGAAGCCTCCAGAAGAAAGCAGATAAATTAATAGATAATCATAATACATATAGGGCTAAACAATGGGGGCACAAAGGAGAGAGTGAATAATAAATTCTACAGAGGTTGGAAGTCTTTGTGGCCGAGTCTTGAAAGATGAGTTGGGTTTAAAGTACAAAGATACAAAGCCGTGAAAGGCTTTATTGGGGAATAGTGAGAAGTTCAGTGGGAGTGCTAGGTGGGAAAGGAGTATGGGAATTGGCAGGAAATGAGTCTAGGGAGGAAAAATATCGGGGCCAGTTCGGAGAAAACTCAATGCAGAGAAGTGAAAAGAAAAAAACAAGTCACTCAAAGTGAATCATTCTTGAAAAAAAAATTTAAGAACTCCTCTTAATTTTGGTGTATTTCCTCTGTTTTATGACTCTTCTAGTCCTAAAAGCAATACATAGTCAACAGGAAATAAATCTGGAAAATCACAAATAGGTAGAGATGATCCACTGTTATCACTTGGCAATATCGACAGTGTTTCCTACATTTGTTTTTAAAAAGAAATTACTAGAAAAACAACAAAAAAAACTCTCATTGTAGCAGTATGGAAGTTAAGCTAGAATAAAGGGACACTGGATACCCAGGACAAAAGTCTGGGGCGAGTCATTTACTGTTCCTTTTACCTTCTTTGAGGTTTGGACAAAGAGACTTGTTTGATCCCAGCTATGCAGGAGCCAAAGTTCCCCCAGAACTACAACCTTGTGACAGAGAACCTTGTCCTGACCGAGTATACCTTGTACTTAGGATTTCACAGGTAACTGCTCTGATGTCCTTCAAAAACTATTTCGTGGGGTTACAAACCAAAAGGTTGAAAGTGAGCCTCACTTCATTCTGAAGGCTCCCATTAGGATCTAAAAGGAATGGGGTTTTATATGCACTTTGTCATATTCATGTGAATTACTTTTGTCCAGATTACTTTACTTTACTTTTCATTTTTTACTTGCTACACTAATTAAAATTAAAGACACTAGTATTGTCCACTGAACATGAAAATTTTTTAAAAGATTTATTTATTTGAGAGAGAGAGAGAGAGAGAGAGAGAGAGCAGGGGAAGGGGCGGGGAGGGGTGGAGAAAGAATCCTCAAGCAGACTTCCCCGCTAAGCGTAAAGCCTGACTCAGGGCTCCATCCTACAATCCTGAGATCATGACTACAGCTAAAATCAAGAGTTGGACTCAACCAACTGAGCCACCAGGGGCCCCCAAACTTGCAAAAAAAATTTTTAAGATTTTATTTATTTAACAGAGCACAAGCAAGGGGAGTAGCAGGCAGAGGGAGAGGAAGAAGCAGATTCCCCCATTGATCAGGTAACTCAATGTGTGACTCGATCCCAGGACATTGGGATCATGACCTGAGCCAAAGGCAGACGCTTAACCGACTGAGCCACCCAGGTGCCCCTAAACTGGCAAATTTTTAAATCACTATCTTCCTATTGTGATCTGTGAAAGTGGAATTCTTTTAACTTTTCACTGTCTGCTCTTGAATTTTCATTACTTACTACTCTTGATGAAAAAGACCAAGCTCTAGTCTATGGTACAGAGACAAAACTGACAAAATTAAAGAAATGTTTGGGGCTCGAGCATATACGCGCATGCACTCTCTCTCACTCTCTTTAAAATAAAAAAATAAATTTAAAAAAAGAAGAAGAAATGAAATGTTTATCAGGGATACCAATAAGATCAGTAGGACCACAAAAGATTTATGTATCAAAGATCAAAAGGATTCTAGAAGCGTGAAAATTTAAGAACTAGAGTTCTGGTTCTGGCAGGCCACACACCATTTTGTGATTGTTTCTGTCCTCTGGTTTAGCTGATCATGACTGCAAGTTTAAATAAGGAAGTTGTTACAGGGACACCTGGGTGGCTCAGACCTTAAGCATCTGCCTTCAGCTCAGGTCATGATCCCAGGGTCCTGGGATTGAGCCCCACACCGGGGTCCCTGCTCAGCACTGCTTCTCCCTCTCCCACTCCCCTTGCATGTGTTCACTCTCTCGCTGTGTCTCTTTCTGTCAAATAAATAAATAAAATCTTAAAAAAAAAAAAAAAAAGAAAGTTGGTACAGTCCTTAGGAAGAGGTACTGAGAATAGCAGTTTTTAATGTCTTCTCAGGATATTTACATTGGCACAGAGGATTTTTTAAAACTCGGTGAATTTCTAGAAAAGTGAAATTCTGTCTTTATTAGTTTTTCTATCCCAGTCATCGACATTTTAAATGACACAATAGGTAACACAGCATATGTTTAACCTGCTCAGCCACCGACATTCAGACGTAGAAATGAGTGTCATCTAGACTCCCCATATTGGCTTGCTAACCGTAGACATTGTCTACAGGGCCAAAGAAGATGACTTTGGACTGTATCCATAGAGACAACTATCCGTAACATTGAATTACAGGGCTTCCTTTCATTAGAGAACATTTGGCTGACCCTTTGTAAAAAATAATGTAATTTTTGTATTGAACAACAAAGGACTGGAAGCTGTTTCTTAGGTTTGCATCCCAGGTGGCTACCAGTTTATATGTGGTCGTTACTAACTTAGAGTCCTTCTCCTCGAGCTTTTGTTCTCAACTAACCGTAGAAAAACTGTCCATATAATATACCCAAGTACAATCATTGCAACTGTGCAGTGTCAGACTATCCTGTTGGGCTGTCTTTGTACTTTGTCTAATCGTTATTTATTTTACATGGTAACAGCCCAGTCTACACCCTCCTCAAGAAAGCTACTGGTCTCTGGATGGTGCTTTCATCTGAAGGTTGCTATTTATAGTTAGTGTCATTTATGTCAAATACTTGGTGACGTTTTCCCAGAGCTATAACCCTGCCCCTGTCCTGTCAGTAAGCTGTGCGAGTGCCTTCCGTGTCACCACAATCGCAGCTCCCTATATCGTGAAAGAGGATACTAGAATAAATAAATGAGGGTTTGTTTCTCTGGAACGATCTGTACTCAGCTGTCCTGTATGAGCCTCCTGACCCAGTCTCTTCTTCTTTCTTGGGGGCAGGTTGCATGATCAGATGGTAAAAATCAACCAGAACCTGCATCGGCTGCAGGTTGCCTGGCGAGATGCTCAGCAAACTTCTAGCCCTGCCGCTGACAACCTTCGTGAGCAGTTTGAACGGCTGATGACCATCTACCTTTCTACCAAGACTGCCATGACGGAGCCCCAGATGCTGCAGAACTGTCTCAACTTGCAGGTGTCCATGGCTGTTCTGCTCGTCCAGCTGGCCATAGGCAATGAGGGCTCACAGCCAGTCGAGCTAACTTTTCCTTTGCCAGATGGCTACAGCTCTTTGGCTTATGTGCCAGGTAAGAGGGCTCTTCCTTGGGAACTGCCTATTTATAGCTAGCTAAGTTTCATGGGGTCACTTCGGAAGTTTAACCGTCAAAGTACACATCCTTAATGATCATTCAACTGTTTTTGGAGAAATATCTCAAATTTATAGATAATATCTACTGGTCAAAGGATGGGGGAACCAACAGCTTTTTCCTCGGCCTTGTGTCCCCACTTCTGTGTGTATCAGAAAACAATCCTCAAACGATTAAGTGCAGCCAGGGTTTTCAGAGCTGTTAGTTTTAGCATTAATGTTGTTTCCATTGTCCGTCTTCTAAATTTATCTGTCCGACTCTCCCTGTGCTCTTCTTCAGGGGAAGAAAAACTATGATCCCCTGTTGGTTAAGGAGATTGTGTATGTAGGTTTGTCGGTGAGGAGTAGGCAGATGCTGTCTATCCAAATCAGGTTATATGTTCTTGATCACCGTATTGGTCATCTGTTGCTAAATAACAGATCATCCCAAAATGTAGCACCTAAAACAAATGTCGTCTTACACGTATTCTGTGGGTCAGGAGTCCAGGAGTGGCTTGGCCGCATGGTTCTGCCTCTGGGTCTCTTCGTGCGGCTGTGACCGAGCTGTCGGTCAAGGCCACAGGAATCTGAGGCCTTGACCAGAACTGGAGGATCTGCTTACAAGCCAGGTCATGTGGTTGTTGGCAGACCTCATTTGTTTACTGGCCTCTTTTCCAGGTCACACAGATCTCTCACTAGTACTGTTCATGGTATGGCAGCTGGCTTCCTTGAGAGCAAGGAAGCTATAGGCTTTATAACCTCACCATGGAAATAATATACCATTGCTCCTATATGCCTATCCTCTGGGAGAGTGTAGGGAGGGACACACAAGGACATGAATACCAGGAAGCAAAGACAATTGGAGGACCATCCTGGAGATGGATGACCAGAGTCATCTAATGTATTCATCTTTGTTAAAGATTCTTTATCCACCTAAAGGGTTATTTAATACACAGTTAACCTTGAGTGTGAAATGAATGTCTATCAGTGTACCTTTTTTTTTTTTCCTTTTTGACAGACAGATCACAAGTAGGCAGAGAGGCAGGCAGAGAGCGAGAGGAGGAGGAGGCAGGCTCCCTGCTGAGCAGAGAGCCCGATGCAGGACTCGATCCCAAGACCCTGAGATCATGACCCGAGCCGAAGGCAGAGGCTTTAACCACTGAGCCACCCAGGCGCCCCTATCAGTGTACCTTCTTAAGTTGCACTGGTGTGTGAACAGTATTTTGTGTCTCTGCTGTTTTCATGTTGAATTGGATAGAAATAAAAATTGACTTACCCTTCCTTTTTTTTCCAAAGACTTTATTTATTTGACAGAGACACAGCAAGAGAGGGAACACAAGCAGGGGAAGTGGGAGAAGAAGCAGGCCTCCCACCGAGCAGGGAGCCCAATGCAGGACTCGGTCCCAGCACCCTGGGATCATGACCTGAGCTGAAGGCAGACACTTAATGACTGAGCCCCCCAGGCGCCCTGAAAAATTGACTTATCTTTAAAGGAGAGTCTGCATTTATGAACTTGTCTCCATTCTTGGTACCTACAAGACATTGGGACTTTTTAACCTTCATTAGGTAGAGCAAAAGGGAGGAATTTCAATATTGCTTAATACAGAAAGTCAGATGCTTCACTAATTGCAGTAAATGTTTTCTTTTTCAGAATTTTTTGCAGATAACTTGGGCGATTTCCTCATTTTTCTCCGCCGCTTTGCTGATGACATCTTGGAGACATCTGCCGACTCCCTAGAACATGTTCTTCACTTTATTACGATTTTCACTGGAAGCATAGAAAGGTGAGGTGTTGGAAGCTTGGCTCTGATACCACTTAGAGGTGCAGAGCATTCAGAAAACTTCTCAACCAAGAACACTCAAGCCTGAATCATAAGGGCTTGCCTTCAGAAGTGGGGTTAACACTAATGAATCACCTGACCGTGCTCGGGGGTAGCCAGAAATCCCCCATCTTGAAAGGCATAACAAGCCAAGGACTTTGCCTACAAAGAATCCGAACGTGCTTGTGAGAGAGCCAGTGGGAATTCCACTGCAAGTGGCTGGTTAAAATAGTTACCTTAATGCCTAAACCTTACCAGTGCAGCCAGTTCTGTATGGTCACAAAGTTTACCCTTAATGTTCTGAGTTGCATGAGCAGTAAACACAGGTAAATGCTTTCAGATCTCATCTTCTCATTCAGAGCTTCTGCTCCCCTTTCTCAGAGATACCCTCTGACCTGTAGAGTTGCTTCCCTGGCGTTTTTGGTGTCAGGCCAAAGGAAACCGTGTGTGCAAATGGAATGATGCGCAATGCCCTGAGCCGTGTCAGTGAGAAGTAGGTAGAAGCCAGTCCTTCCCTGAGCTGAGCAGACCCAGTGAGAAGTCATGAGTCAACCAGGATTTATTAGGCACACGTGCTGTCCAGCGTCAGTAATGTAGAAGAACTGTGGCCTGACCCTGGCCCTCAGGAAGCTTAGAAAGGCAGGTTTCTCCTCAATGAAACTGTCAGGGAATGTAAGCAGTAAACAGTAGATTATTATAGAAGAGTAAACAGAATGGCTAGACATTATTGAGAAACTTGAGTACTCATCCTCATACTTGGCCAGCTGTGATCTCAAAAGTTGAATGATGTTGTACCCTACATTACCCACAGAAACTGACAGCCTGGACATGACAGAACCCTTTTTTCTCTTCCAGCAGTGGTAGAGGGTGTTTTGGCTCCTCATGTGGAGAAAATAGTCATCAGTTTGAGAGTTAACTTTTCTACCTGCTCAACTGGCTTTCTGTCCTTTGTGCAGAATGAAGAATCCTCACCTAAGGGCCAAACTGGCTGAGGTATTGGAAGCAGTGATGCCCCACCTGGACCAGACACCAAATCCCTTGGTAACCAGTGTGTTCCACCGGAAACGTGTGTTCTGCAACTTTCCCTATGCACCCCACCTTGCAGAAGCTCTAATCAAGGTCTTTGTGGACATTGAGTTTACAGGTAAAGCAGTCCAGAACTGAGAAGCAGATCCTAGTGGAGTCCCCTAGCTTGATTAGTATTTAATGTCAGAAAAATAGCATCAGCCATCAGTTATGGAATATCTATGTGCCAGCCTTGATGCTAAGTGCTTTTCTTACATTGTTTCATTAATTTGTCACCATCTGGCAAGTTTTACTGCATCATCCCTGTTGTACATATACAAGGACATGAATGCTTGAAAAGATAATTTGTCTGTGTCATACAACTAAGTGGTAGAATCAGGTTGATTCTGTCTCACCTCAAAAAGAAAAACAAGGGTGTGGGGGTTGCCTGGGGTGGATCAGTTGGTAAGCAGTTGACTTTGGCTCAGGTTATGATCTCAGGGTCCTGGGTTGGAGGCCCATGTCAGGCTCCACTCAGCAGGGAATCAGCTTCTTCTCCTTCTGTCCCTCCCTCAACTCTTGCTTTTCTTTCTCTCTTTCTCTCTCTCTCTCTCTCAAATAGATAAATAAAATCTATGGGGATGCCTGGGTGGCTCAGTCAGTTAAGTGATTACCTTCGGCTCAGGTTGTGATCATGGGGGTCTTGGGATCGAGTCCCACATCAGGCTCCTTGCTCTGTGGGGAGCCTGTTTCTCCCTCTGCCTGCCACTTCCTCTGCTTGTGCATGTGCATACACTCACACTCTCTCTGACAATAAAAAGAATCTTTAATTTAAAAAAAGTAATAAATCTGAAAAAAAAGACCCACATACTCTTACCAATTTTATTACATGCTTGATTTAATTATGTTCTAGCAAAGTACCCTGTTCATTTACAACCTATGTCTTTTTTCTCTTTTCTTTTTTTAGTGGGGGTTGGGGAGGGGCGGGAGAAGAGGTAGAGGGTGAACCTTAAGCAGGCGCCACACCAGTGTAGAGCCCAGTGCAGAGCTCAGTCTCACAACCCTAAGGTCATAACCAACTGACTCACCTAGTCACCCCGACCCCAAGTACTTACTTTTATCTGCCTCAAAATTGCTGAATAGTGGGACAGTTCTTTTTTCTTTCTTTCTTTCTTTTTTTTTTTTTTTAAGATTTTATTTATCTATTTGACAGAAAGATCACAAGTAGGCAGGCAGGCAGACGGGGAGAGGGAAGCAGGCTCCCCACTGAGCAGAGAGCCTGATGCGGGGCTCAATCCCAGGACCCTGAGATCATGACCTGAGTCAAAGGCAGAGGCTTAACCCACTGAGCCACTCAGGCACCCTATCTTTTTTTATTTATTTTTTTTTAAGTAAACTGTCTCCAACATGGGGCTCAAACTCACCACCCTGAGATCAAAAGTAAACTGTACCCCATCTCAACCAGTAAATAATATATGTTAGGCACTTATACAAGACCCCTTTTAAAAGAGATGTTCTAAATTAAAAAAAGTTGTCCTACCATCCGGTGATAAATACAATTAACATTTAAAGAGATATTTAACATTGTTCTGAGTGCCTTTCCTATTTGAGTCTTGGTTTTGTCACTTGCTCACTTCTGAGCCTTAGTGTCCTCATCTATAAAGGTGAAGTGACAACTAATGAGATAGTTCGTGTAAATCTTCCTAATACATATACAGTCACACAGTGAATCACTGCAGTTATCTCATTATATGACCATTTCAACCCTTTACATGCGATTCTAATTCCTGGTTTATTTCTGAGCAAGTAGAAGTTAAAAAATATTAAGAGACTTGAAATAAGTGGAGCTAAAGGGAAAACCTATATATTCTGAATCCAAATCCCATATTCTACTTTCATTGTATGACCCAGGCTACAAAGATGGAGCGGTTCCTTTGATTGGTCAAAACAGTATAAGCCTCAGGTTTTTAGCCCCTGACCTGATTTTTCAGAGTAACTAAGAGCCAGTTCATCTTGCAGCTGGAATGCTGTCTATGAGGAACGTGGAGGTTACTCAATATCCTGTTCAGCACAGGCTGTCACTGCCACAATGGTCAGTTTGGAGGCCTCATTCAGAGTCCGATAAGACTTTACATTTGGATATGGAAGCATTTGTTTCCCCTGGCTTTTAGTGGACAACTTGGTCCTTGTCCTTTTCTGCATGTGGCATCTTTTATGTCTGTCTCCCTCTTTTTTTTTTTTTTTAATTTTTTTTTTTTTTAATTTTTTTATTTGTGAGAGAGCACAAGCTGTGGGGAGGAGGCGGAGGGAGAGGGAGAAGCAGGCTCCCTGCTGAGCGGAGAGCCCGATGCGGGGCTCGATCCCAGAACCCCGAGACCACGACCCAAGCTGCAGGCAGATGCCTAACTGACTGAGCCACCCAGGCACCCCTGTCTGTCTCCCTCTTATTCTGTCAGTAAGGAAATAAGTAAATACTTGGCTATCATTCTGGGCCTTTGTAAACTCCCAGGGCAGATTTTACCAGTAGTCTTGACACATTCAGAATAAAAGAAAATGGCTTCCCAGGAATAAACTCTTATCTTTCTCTAGTAGCACCACCTTTTCTGGGTTTTTGCTCTTACCCTATTCCAGGAGACCCCCATCAATTTGAACAGAAGTTTAATTACCGACGTCCCATGTATCCCATCCTAAGGTACATGTGGGGAACAGATACCTATCGAGAGAGCATTAAGGTGAGAGAGTTTTTGGTGAAGCCAAAGCTGAGTTCTCTGAGTTTTACTTCAGATAAGCCCCAGTGAGTTGTGGTTCGGTACTAAAATGGTTTTGTCTTGGGCTGGGACTTAACAGGATTTGGCTGACTATGCCTCTAAGAATTTAGAAGCCATGAATCCCCCGCTTTTCCTCCGCTTTCTTAACCTGCTGATGAACGATGCCATCTTCCTCCTGGATGAAGCCATACAGGTAAGAATAAGTAAATTAAAAAATTTTAGGGATCCATGGGTGGTTTAGTTGGTTAAGCGTCTGCCTTCCTCTTGGGACATGACCCAGGGTCCTGGGATTGAGTCCTGGATTGGGCTCCCTGCTCAGTGAGGAGCCGGCTTCTCCCTCTACCTGCCATTCCCTCTGCTTGTGCTCGCTCGCTCTCTCTGACAAACAAATAAATAAAATATTTAAATAAAAATTCTTTAGAACAGATTTAACTGCCCTTATCAAATAATAAATACATACTTTTTACCTTCAAATTAGAATAGAGCAGTCTTGGGACACCTGAGTGGCTCAGTCAGACTTCACCTCAGGTCACAATCTCAGGGTCCTGGGATCGAGTCCTACATCAAGCTCCCTGCTCAGTGGGGAGCTTGCTTCTCCCTCTGACCCTTGCCATTCCAGTTGTGCTCTCTCAGTCTCTCAAATAAACAAAATCTTAAAAAAAAAAAAAAAAGAATAGACCAATCTTTATGCCCATAGTACCAGTTTGGACACCAAAAATTTATGAGAAGTAATGTACCATGAACCTTGCCATTACAGAGGTTGATATTATTCCATTAGAGACCCAATATCAAGGGTCATTGAAGGCTCATAAATGAGGGTGATATTTTGGCAAAAAAGTGGAAAAGAAAGCTAAAACTAAGGTAAACCAGCATGATTAATCATGCTAGCAGCACAGAAGGAAATCCTAAGACCTCGCGTTTGGTCAATGACTTTCAACCATTTTCCATCCCAACCCATGAGTAACAGTGACTCACTAAGGCAATGATTCTTATCCCGTTCCTGAAAGATTCCGATTTTTGTGCCACTACTTGAAAAAAAATCTCTGGTTTTGGTTATTTTTTCATATAAACACTGCAGGTCACCAGTACTCTTCACCTATCCGTAGGCTTTCAGATCTTTACATTTGAAATGTGTGTTTCCCAAAGTCTTCACCTGGGTACCTGTCATCAGCTTCAGTGCATCATACCCTTACTCGTCCCTCATGGAGCTGCTTCTTGCTCATATTAAAAACTCCCATAGGGGGCGCCTGGGTGGCTCAGTTGTTAAGCGTCTGCCTTCAGCTCAGGTCATGATCCCAGGGTCCTTGGATCAAGCCCCAGATCGGGCTCTGTGCTCCGTGGGAAGCCTGCTACTTCCTCTCCCACTCCCCCTGCTTGTGTTCCCTCTCTAACTGTGTCTCTCTGCCAAATAAATAAATAAAATCTTTAAAAAAAAAAAACTTCCCTGGGGTGCCTGGGTGGCTCAGTTGGTTAAGCGTCTACCTTTGGCTCAAGTCATGATCCCAGGGTCCTGGGGTCAAGCCACGCATCAGACTCCCTGCTCGGCAAGCCTGCTTCTCCTTCTCCCTCTGCCTACTGCTCCCCCTGCTGTGCGCGCGCGCTCTCTCTCTCTCTCTCTCTCTCTCTCTCTCTCTCTGTCAAATAAATAAATAAAAAATCTTAAGAAAGGGGCACCTGAGTGGCTCAGTGGGTTAAGCCTCAGCCTTCAGCTCAGGTCATGATCCCAGGGTCCTGGGATCGAGCCCCGAATGGGGCTCTCTGCTCAGTGGGGAGCCTCCTTCCCCCTCTCTCTACCTGCTGCTCTGCTTTCTTGTGCTTTCTCTCTCTTTGTCAAATAAATAAATAAAATCTTTAAAAAAATAAAAAAAAAATCTTAAGGAGAAAAGTTCCCTTATTGGTGACTGGTGTAAGAAAGCTAAGGCAGTGGCCCAAAGGGACATGAGGCAGGTAAGCCATGCAGGTGGCCTGTGGGACAGCCACAAGTTCCTCATATTGATTTGCAGTCCCCCAGTAACATACATACATACATACATACATACATTTATTTATTTATTTATAAAGATTTATTTATTATTTGACAGAGAGAGACACAGGGAGACAGGGAACACAAGCAGGGGCGAGTGGGAGAGGGAGAAGCAGGCTTCCCGCTGAGCAGGGAGCCCAATGTGGGGCTCGATCTCAGGAACCTGGGATCATGACCCGAGCCAAAGGCAGATGCTTAACAGCTGAGCCACCAGGCACCCCAGTAACTTGTATTTAATCTGTGAGGAGAGTTCCTGCTTTTTTCATAGTCCCATACTTCTTGATTTTAGATAGGCTATCATAGAAAACACAAGCAAGTCCTGTAATAAATAGACCCTTCTGAGCAAGAGCTCTGTGATACAAAGAATGACACCAGATGGCATTGTCATAGGACTGCAAGAATGATGAGAAGTAGACAGTTTTTAATATTTATGCTTCTCCTTCCAGACATCTTGCATATTAGATAGAGCTTTGTTTTTTGAGAGGCAGTTTTGGGTTTGGTTTTGTTGGGACTTTTGGAGGTTTATGGGTTGTTTTTTGTTGTTTTTGTTGTTTTTCATTTTTTAAGAAGGATTTGTCCCTTTTTTTCATTTCAGCCTGTTTATTTTTGCCTGGATTTCAGACACAATACTATGTATTCTCTTTTCTATTTCAGAGACCATAATACTCACATGGAACAAATGAGTAAAACAAATCTATATGGAACTTCAGCCCTATGCTGAGAAATAAAGGCTCACATTTCTTACATAGTCCCCGGTTTTCCTGGTTACTAAACTAGATTTTAGAGATGCCTGGTTGGCTCAGTTGGTTAAGTATCTGCCTTTGGCTCAAGTCAGCATCCCAGGGTCCTAGGATGGAGTCCCACATCGGACTCCTTGCTCAGCAGGGAGCTTGCCTCCCCCTCTGCCTGCCATTCCCCCTGTTTGTGCATGCTTGCTCACTTGCTCACTCTCTCTCTGACAAATAAATAAATAAAATCTTTTTTTTTTTTAATTAAAATAAAAACAAACTAGATTTTAAATAGAAAGGCTGGGGCGCCTGGGTGGCTCAGTGGGTTGAAGCCTCTGCCTTCGGCCCAGGTCGTGATCTCCGGGTCCTGGGATCGAGCCCCGCATTGGGCTCTCTGCTCAGCAGGGAGCCTGCTTCCTCCTCTCTCTCTCTCTCTCTGCCTACTTGTGATCTCTATCTGTCAAATAAATAAATAAAAATCTTTTAAAAGAATTAAAAATAGGGGCGCCTGGGTGGCTCAGTGGGTTAAGCCGCTGCCTTCGGCTCAGGTCATGATCTCAGGGTCCTGGGATCGAGTCCCGCATCGGGCTCTCTGCTCAGCAGGGAGCCTGCTTCCTCCTCTCTCTGCCTGCCTCTCTGCCTACCTGTGATCTCTGTCTGTCAAATAAATAAATAAAGTCTTAAAAAAATTAAAAAAAAAATAAAATAAAAAGAATTAAAAATAAAAATAAATAGAACGGCTTAAGGGGCACCTGGGTGGCTTAGTTGGTTGAGCATCCAGCTTTTTATCCATTTTTTTTTTTAAGATTTTATTTATTTATTTGACAGACAGAGATCACAAGCAGGCAGAGGCAGTCAGAGAGAGAGAGAGGAGGAAGCAGGCTCCCTGCCGAGCAGAGAGCCCGATGCGGGACTCCATCCCAGGACCCTGAGATCATGACCTGAGCCGAAGGCAGAGGCTTAACCCACTGAGCCACCCAGGCGCCCCTTTTTATCCAATTTTAAATAAAATTTAAAGATTTTATTTATTTATTTGACAGACAAAGATCACAAGTAAGCAGAGAGACAGGCAGGGAGGCGGGGAAGCAGGCTCCCTGCTGAGCAGAAAGCCCAATTCGGGGCTCAGTCCCAGGACTCTGAGATCATGACCCGAGGCAAAGGCAGAGGCTTAACCCACTGAGCCACCCAGGTGCCCTGAGCATCCAACTCTTAATTTTGTCTTGGGTGGTGGGGTCGAGCCCCACATCACACTCTGCGTTCAACAGAGAATCTACTTGAGATCTCTCTCCCTCTGCTTCTGTCCCTCCACCTGTTCTCACGCTCTTAGATAAATAAATTTTAAAAATTAAAAAATTAATATAACCACTGAAATATCATCTTCTCTTCAACTGTACTCTCTTCTCTGATACATTTCACCTCTGGTTTCCGTAGTATTTGAGCAAGATAAAGATTCAACAGATTGAGAAAGACCGAGGTGAATGGGATAGTCTGACTCCAGAAGCCCGCCGAGAGAAGGAGGCCGGCCTACAGATGTTTGGACAGTTGGCACGTTTCCATAACATCATGTCCAATGAAACAATTGGTACCCTTGCCTTTCTGACATCAGGTAAGGACACAAAGCACTGTGTTCCCAAAAAATCCAGTGGTCAAGATCTGCTTCATTTGAGGGATCAGCCCAGCTGAAACTAAGAATTCAGACTCTGGCAATAGTATTCTACACAATCTGAGAGGGAAATGAACCACTAGAGAAGCTTCAAGAAGGATGATGCCCGGGGCGCCCAGGTGGCTCAGTCAGGCATCCAACTCTTGATCACACAGCTCAGGTCTTGATCTAAGGTCATGAGTTCAAGCCCACATTAGACTATGCGTTGGGCTCCACACTGGACACAGAGCCTACTTAAAATAAAAAAGAAGATGCCTGTTGAAATGAGAAACATTCACCCTCACAGAGCTTGCCAGAAAGCATAAGTTGGTGTAATTTTTCTTGAGAACAAGTTAGCCATATAAATATATCTGGGGGAGAGTGTGTGTGTGTGTGTGTCTGTGTGTCTGTGTGTGTGTAGTGTGTATTAACCTGAAAAACATTCTTGAACTCTGGTTAAATATGGTAGATCAAAGACACTTACCTGTACTCCCTCTCAAGCTACAGTATCCAGTTCGGTAGCCACTTGCCACATGTGGTTATTAGGCATTTTTTTTTTAAGATTTTATTTATTTATTTTACAGAGATCACATAGGCAGAGAGGCAGGCAGAGAGAGAGGGGGAAGCAGGCTCCCCGCTGAGCAGTGAGCCTGATGCAGGGCTCGATCCCAGGACCCCAAGATCACGACCTTAAAGATTTTATTTATTTATTTATTTGATGGAGAGAGATACCACAAGTAGGCAGAGAGAGAGAGGGAAACAGGCTCCCCGCTGAGCAGAGAACCCGACGCAGGGCTCGATCCCAGGACCCTGAAATCATGACCCAAGCCAAAGGCAGAGGCCTAACCCACTTAGCCACCCAGGTGCCCCAAGACTTAGTATTTTTTTTTAAGAAGTAAAATATTTCGTTAATAATTTTTTATTGATTACATATGAAATGATAACCAAGAATCACCAGACATTTGAGGAAATCCTCCAACACGAAACACAGATATTGGATGAAAAAAAAAAGTTTTTTTAAGGGGTGCCTGGGTGGTTCAGTTGGTTGAGCCTCTGCCTTCAGCTCGGGTCATGATCTCTGGGTTCTGGGATCGAGCCCCACGTCGGGTTCTCTGCTCAGCGGGGGACCTGCTTCTCCCTCTCTCTCTGCCTGCCTCTCTGCCTACTTGTGATCTCTGGTTCTCTCTCTGTCAAATAAATAAATAAATAAATAAAATCTTTAAAAAAAAAAAGTTTTTTTAAGATTTTATTTATTTACTTATTTGTCAGAGAGAGAGAGCACACACAGGCAGGCAGAGTGGCAGGCAGAGAAGGAGAGAAGCAGGCTCCCTGCTGAGCAAGGAGCCCAGTGCGGGCCTCGATCCCAGGACCCTGGGATCATGACCTGAGCCGAAGGCAGTGGCTTAACTGACTGAGACACCAAGGGATCCCTGGATGAAAACATTTTTAAGAGATGTTTATAATCTCAGAGGAATAGGAGAAGATCTAGCATCCATAAAACAAGAACAAAGAGGCAATAAAAGGTACTATTCAAAGAACAAGAAAGAGATCTTGGATACTGAAAATACAATTTAAGTAATTTTTACCTGTCAGTAGAAGGGTTAAAAGATCACATGAAGGAGCTCTTCCATGAAAGAAAGAAAAAGTGATGGAAATTAAAATGGAAAGGATAAGAAAACAAAGGATCAATCCAGAAAGTCTCAAAATGAGAAAATGGTGTGGAGGAAATTATCAAAGAAATAATACCAAAAATTCTCAAAGACTAAAAGCCTCTAACTGGAAAGTGCCACAATGTGCCTGGCACAAGGACCTTTTAAACTCTCACTCTGAGGTGACTTTGTGACATTTCAGGAAATCAAGGTAAAGAGAAGACCCTAAAATGTCCCAGAGAAAAGTCAGCTGATGTCCAGTGTTTTAAGTATAAAATGTCTTTGATTTTCCCAACAGTGACATTGGAAGCTGGAGCACACTCCTCATGGAAAATAGTTTTTCAGCCCAGAATGCTATAACCAGCCTCACTGTCATTTCTTTTTTTTTTTTTTTTTAATTTATTTGACAGAGATCACAGGCAGAGAGGCAGGCAGAGAGAGAGGAAGGAAAGCAGGCTCCTTGCTGAGCAGAGAGCCCAATGCGGGGCTCGATCCCAGGACCCTGGGATCATGACCTGAGCCGAAAGCAGAGGCTTTAACCCACTGAGCCACCCAGGGGCCCCCTCACTGTCATTTCTGTTTGAAGGTGAACATGAGGACATTTTCAGGGATGAAGGCATCAGATTTACTTCCAGTGTACCGTTCCTTGAGAAGTTAAAAAAGATATAAACCAGGGGCGCCGCAGAGAGCCTGCTTCCTCCTCTCTCTCCCTGCCTGCCTCTCTGCCTACTTGTGATCTCTGTTTGTCAAATAAATAAATAAAATCTTTAAAAAAAAAATATATATATATATATATATATTCCATCAAAGTGAGAGAGTAAATCCAGAGGAGGAAGGTGGAATCCCATAGGAGACAAAGTGTCCAGGATGGTGGTAAAAGGAGCTTGTATGACCACCATGCAACAGGCTGATAGAGCAAGGAGTCCAGACTGGAGTGACAGATGGGAGCTTCCAGAAGGAGCATTTCCAAAAAGTAAGAACTGTTAGAAATGATCTTATCGAGGGGCGCCTGGGTGGCTCAGTCGTTGGGCGTCTGCCTTCAGCTCAGGTCATGATTCCCGGGTCCTGGGACAGAGCCCCACGTCGAGCTCCCTGCTCTGTGGGAAGCCTGCTTCTCCCTCTCCCACTCCCCCTGCTTGTGTTCCCTCTCCCTCTGTGTCTCTCTGTATCAAATAAAAAAAATCCTTTTTTTTTTAAGATCTTATTTATTTATTTATTTGACAGAGAGAAAGAACACAAGCAGGTAGAGTGGCAGAGAGAGGGAATGGGAGAAGTAGGCTCCCCACTGAGCAAGGAGCCCGATGCAGGACTCGATCCCAGGCTCATGACCTGAGCTGAAGGCAGCGGCTTAACTGACTGACCCACCCAGGTGTCCCATAAATAAAATCTTAAAAAAAAAAAAAAAAATTCTATCGAGAGTTTTACATTTCTGGTGGAGAGGTTAGAAAGATTTAGTGATTGGTACTCTGAAAATAAGCAAACAGATTTTTACAAAGTTACATTAAAAAGTATATATATTACCGGGGTGCCTGAGTGGCTCATTCGGTTGAGTGTCCAACTCTTGGTTTCAGCTCAGGTCATGATCTCAGGATTGTGGGATCGAGCCCCGCATTGGGTTCAGTGCTCAGTGGGGAGTCGGCTTTAAGAGTCTCTGCCGCTGCCCCTCCCCCCACTCTCACACCTGCTCTTTCTGTGTCTCTCAAATAGATAAATCCTTTTTTTTTAGTATATATATTATTTTATATATGTAATTATTAGGATACTCTGTGGCTCTGCTGTGAGTGATATTTTTACAGTCTTCATGACATAAACTAAATTATTTAACCAAAGATTTGATTAGATACTAGGATTTCTATTTGGAAGAGAAGGACAGGAAATATGAGCTAAACTCTCGTCAGTAGTGGAGTCAATAGACTGACTAAAACTAACTTACCAACACAAGGCATGTGTTAATTTTTTTTTTTTTTAATTTTTGGAGTTTATGTCCTGTGCCCTAGCAATTCCTTACAACATCATTGTAAGGAAGTAATAAGTCTACAAAATATGTACATAGTGAAGTTAATTAGTGAAATGGTGGGGCATCTGGCTGGTTCATTCAGTGGAGCATATAATTCTTGATCCCAGGGTTGTTAGTGTGAGCCCCATGCTGGGTATGGAGTTTCCTCAAAAATAAAATCTTTCGGGGCATCTGGGTGGCTCAGTGGGTTAAGCCTCTGCCTTCGGCTCAGGTCATGATCCCAGGGTCCTGGGATCAAGCCCTTCATCAGGCTCTCTGCTCAGCAGGGATCCTGCTTCCTCCTCTCTCTCTGCCTGCCTCTCTGCCTACTTATGATCTCTGTCTGTCAAATAAATAAAATCTTCAAAAAACAAATTTAAAAAAATAAAATCTTGTGTAAATAGATATGAGATGTTTATAATAGAATGCTAGCAGTAAAATAATGTCTAGCAATAAAGATAAGTAACACATATTTGGAAATTGTGTGGCCATTAAAAAGAATGCAAATCGAGGAGGAAGAAGAGGAAAATTCTTTTTAAAAAGTACAAATCATTGCTACCCTACAGAACTTTGTCTTATGGAAAAGCTTATAAATCTGGACTCATACTGTAGAAACTAGCCATGTGTGGCTATTGAACACTTGAGATGTGAGGTCAGTGTGCCTACGGAACTGAATTTTGAAATTAATTTAAATAGACACGTCAGGCCAGCCACTTGCTATCATGTCATGTTGTCACACAGGGACGTATATTTACCAAAATGGTGAGATATTTATGATATGGTTAATGAAAAAGTAAGTTACAGAATATATACATGCGATCATCATTTTGTTTTAAAAATATGCATGTTTGTAAATATGGACAGAAAAGCTAGAAAGATGTATTTGAAAATGTTAACAGTGTTTATTTCTGGGTGGTAGTTTGATAATTTGTTTTTGCTCACCAATGTTTTGTGACATGCCTACAATGAAAATGTATTACTCACATAATTTTTAAAATATTCCCCAGAGGTCTCCAAGTGAAACATTAAGACATAATAAGTAAAAGATGGCATATAGGTTGAGCTTTCATAGACTGCCTTTTTTTCTAGAGATCAAATCACTTTTTGTGCATCCTTTCCTGGCTGAGCGCATCATCTCCATGCTGAACTACTTCCTGCAGCACCTGGTTGGCCCCAAGATGGGGGCCTTAAAAGTCAAGGACTTCAGTGAATTTGACTTCAAACCCCAGCAGCTCGTATCAGATATCTGCACAATCTACTTAAATCTTGGGTACCTGAGATTTAATTGGGCAAGCCAGAGGGAATGCTGATGTTTTAATTTGGGGTTTGGATAATGGAATGACTGGTAATTATGTGGAAATAGAAAAGAAATGGTTCATTTCTAGTTGGTTGATGAAAGAATTTTACGTAGGTTTAATCATGAAATTTTGTTTGACCTCTGGGACACTGTTTAAAATTTTCAGCATTCTGCCTATATCTGTGCAAAGGTAAACTTTACTACTTGTAACCAGTGTTTAGAAAAACAGTATTCTTTTTAAGGTTACAGAATACTTGATAGACTTCCTTCCTAAAAATTAGAAGAAATCTTTCTGTATCAAAAGAACATTGATGGCATGTAAGTGATGGGGAACCTTGTTCCTCAGGAACTTTCCTCTGATGCTCAGTTTCTTTCTGATGCTGACCTTCCAGGGATGAGGAGAACTTCTGTGCTACGGTGCCCAAGGATGGACGTTCCTATTCCCCAACTCTCTTTGCACAGACAGTCCGAGTCCTCAAGAAAATAAATAAGCCCGGGAATATGATTGTGGCTTTCAGCAACTTAGCAGAGAGAATCAAGGTAAGGCAAGGAGGATTTGTTTATTAACTTATTCAGTAGAAATCACTGTGTTCACTCAACTGTTCTGCTGGTTACCCTATTTCAAGGGGTAAAAAGGGTATTGCTTTGGGGCGCTTGGGTGGCTCAGTGGGTTAAAGCCTCTGCCTTCGGCTCAGGTCGTGATCCCAAAGTCCTGGGATTGAGCCCTACATCCAGCTCTCCGCTCAGTGGGAGCCTGCTTCCTGCTTCTCTCTCTCTGCCTGCCTCTCTGCCCACTTGTGATCTGTTAAATAAATAAATAAAATTTAAAAAGGGGGGGGTATTGCCTTGAGTAAATATAAACGGATGATTCTTCCTGCTTCATGCATAACTAGAACTGCCTTATTTGGGTTTTGGGAGTTTTTTTAAAGTTTTTATTTGAATTCCACTTAGTTGGGAGCCTGGGTGGTTCAGTGGGTTAAGCCTCTGCCTTGGGGCTCAGGTCATGATCCCAGGGTTCTGGGATCGAGGCCTGCATCGGGCTCTCTGCTCGGCAGGGAGCTTGCTTCCCTCTCTCTCTGCCTGCCTCTCTGCCTACTTGTGATCTCTCACTCTCTGTCAAATAAATAAATAAAACCTTTAAAAAAAGATGAATTCCAGTTAGTTCACATACAGTGTTAGTTTCAGGTTTACAAGACAGTAATTAAAGAATTCCATCCATCACCATATCATATCATCGTATCATCACTGCCATATTCTTAATTCTCTTTTCAACGTGAAAGGGAAGAACAGAAAATGATTTAAGAAGCTTCTACTAGGAGAGAAGAATATACAGCCTTTTGTAGACTGTTTCTATGAAAACTTTTCTGCACAGTGTTACCAATAGACTTGAAAATCTATATTGTTAATGCAGAATTTTTTCAGATAGAATTCAAGATCAGTTGTTTTTAGTCTTTTGATTTGTGTAGATTTTCTTTTTTTTTTTTTTTTAAGATTTTGTTTATTTACTTGACAGAGATCACAAGTAGGTAGAGAGAGGCAGGCAGAGAGTGGTGGGGAAGCAGGCTCCCTGCTGAGCAGAGAGCCCGATGTGGGGCTCGATCCCAGGACCCTGAGACCATGAGCTGAGCCAAAGGCAGAGGCTTAACCCACTGAGCCACCTAAGCGCCCTAGATTTTCTTTGTTCATTATATTTGTAGTTAGTAGTTAGCTTATATGAGAATAGTAATATATTTTGTAGATGAAAATACTGTCTTATATTCAACTAATCCCTTTGGTGGAGTTTGACAGAGCTCCATTAGTTACAAAGAAGGAAAAATCATGGCACAGGCTCTAATAATAGAAAACCTTCCTTATTTAAAAAAAAGAAGAAAAAAAGAAAACCTTCTTTGTTAACATGCATGTTCCCTTCACTGAACTACTTTTTTTATTGAGTTGAGCTCCATCTTGCCTAGAGCTTAGCCAGATGGGTCCCTGAGGAACTAGAGTCATGAAGGGATCAAAATGTTGAAGCTACTTTTAAACTCCTCCCATACCTGTTTGTACCTAAAAGCAGAAGCTGCTTTTCATACACTGACTGCATGAGTGACTCTGCAAATAACTCTCTTACCACTGTCCCTTTTGCAGTGATGACATTTACAGTAGGACTGCTGCCGGGGGGATCTTGTGTGTGATACATTTCTTTGTTAACACTTAAACCCATCTCTGGTCATGACTGCCAGCCGCTGAGCCACACTGAGGTTTGGGAGTTGGGGTTGAATGCTCAGCTTTCTTTTATAACGTCCTTTGCCTCTTTAGAAAATAAAGCTGAGAATCCGGGCACCTGGGTGGCTCAGTCATTAAGCGGCTGCCTGCAGCTCAGGTCATGATCCCAGGGTCCTGGGATCGAGCCCCTCTTCGGGCTCCCTGCTCAGGGGGATGCCTGCTTCTCCCTCCCCCACTCCCCCTGCTTATGTTCCCTCTCTCACTGTGTCTCTTTCTGTCAAATAAATAAATAAAATCTTTTTTTAAAAAAAGGCTGAGAATTGCCATTGTTACTCTAAAGGGTCCTCAATGGCCTTTTAAGGTTATAGTCACTGAGTATTTGGAATTTAGCTGCTCTGTGAATTCACCTTAATGACCAGTTGTTTGTGCTTAGTCTCTAGCTGACCTCCAGCAACAGGAGGAGGAGACCTACGCAGATGCCTGTGATGAGTTCCTGGATCCCATCATGAGCACACTCATGTCTGACCCTGTGGTGCTGCCATCCTCCAGAGTCACTGTGGATAGATCCACCATTGCCAGACATTTGCTCAGGTATGCAAGCCCCAAAGAGCAGCCTCAAGACAATAGACGTGTGTGTTTGCTCTCCTTTTTCCCCAGTTCCTAATACACCCAGGATGTGATTCATATTGTTGATTTATAAATGAGTTAGGGAGGCATTTTGGGAGAGGTATATCAGTTGACTGTTAAGGATTTAAACATCCAAAACAAGACACTTTGTTGAGAAATGGTGGCCCTAACCCCTTACCTGCTCCTTCCTTGAAGAAATCATTTCTATCAGATGTTATAAATTATGGCAACCTGAAGACTTGAACTTGTTTTAATTATGTTTAAGGTGTAAAAATATGAGAAGTTTGTTTTGTTTAAGTCCGGTGTACGCTGTAGCCATCATGCATAGGTTAAGCCAGCTTCTGCTGCTGTCTCACTCAGCCACGGTGGCCAGCGAGTCCAGCTGGGGCCTGCTGCATTAGGTTGACATGGATACTGAGAAGCTCTTCCTATTTAAAATGAAGTTCTATAAGTTGACCCAAATTTAAGGGAATACAATTTTTTAAACATTGCAAAAGGGAATTTTCTACTTTGTGGTATTTGGTATTAAGCATTCACTACATGCATAATGCTGTAGTAGGCAGTCTGTCTTTTCCAAAATGTCAGCGAAAATTTATATTTTATTGTGGCCTCAGGATACAGATAGAAGATAGAATCAGCTCTTGAAGTATACTGTAAACCCCCTTACCTGTCAGGAAACCATAATCTACGTTTACTTGTGCAGCAATCAGCTAACTAAATCAGGTGTCATTCTCCAAAGCTTTATCCCCTAACACCTTAGACTGTTTGAGAGACTGTCAGTAACACTACCAGCAGCTCTGTATGCTGACATGAGTGTGCAGGCTTTCTGCAATCCAACCAAGTATGATCTAAGTAGCAATGTGAAAATCAAGTTTGTTAAGGAACAGAGAGACAAAGTAGCGAAATAATCTGCAGAACCTAGGAACCTCCTGAATCACTCTTTATCTCCTCTCCTCCTTTCTAACCTCAAGGCAGCGCCTGACTCAGACTTACAGCACGTCTGGCTTCTCAGAGGGAGAAGGGCCCGCTTTTGTAGCTTGGGCTTTGGCGGTTCGAACTTACAGAAATAACCACTTTCCCTTTCTCTCTCTCTGTCCCAGTGACCAAACCGATCCCTTTAACCGTAGTCCCCTCACCATGGACCAGATCCGGCCAAACACAGAACTAAAAGAAAAAATCCAACGGTGGCTTGCAGAGAGGAAACAACAACAAAAGGAGCAACTTGAATAAATACTGTGAACTAAACAAACCAAAAACAACCAACCCCAGAATGTAGATAAGCAATCGTTTGTGGTTTCTCTCTTTTTGGTTCCGTTCCCTCTTTCTTTCTTTCTTTCTTTCTTTCTTTCTTTCTTTCTCTCTCTCTCTCTCTCTCTCTTTGTTTTTTTAACTAGAGAACTGCTCTTGCTGAAATTATGATAATTTAGATTTATTCCTAAGAATTTTACAATGCTCTCCTGGCTTGCAGGAAATGATGCTGATTATAGCAGCACCAAGTTTAGAAATGACCACTCAGTTGTACCCTTTGTTCTCTCTTCCTACTCTTCATTCTTTTCCTTCCTTAAGTTTTATTAACTTCAACTATTAAACCTTCTGCCACCTTACTGTTGCTCTGTCAAGAACTGCTCAAATACCTTTGGTGAGCCCAGCTTTTAAGTATATGATGTCACATATTTTGGTGACAGCTGACACCATCAGAAAGTCCTGTGTCATCGAGGTATTTACTGGTCTTCGTGACCTGGATGTCGGCCCTTTTCTTGTTACAGTTCTGCTATATTACAGAATAACCTTTCACGCAAAAGCAGATACCTTGATTTGTTTGAGTGGGCTTTTGAATAGAATAGATGAGATTTTCAAAAAGGAATCTTAATGCAGTTTCTGTTGGTAGTATTTAATTTTGCATTATCTCATCACTCAGAGATCCAGTGGAGGACAAACATTCTCCCCTAGGGCTGTCATCACCACAAAAAACTTAGCTTCGTAATATTTTTAGGATTGGTAGGACAAACGTGAATATTTGATAATTCAGAAAATTTTGAGGTGAAAGAAAAAAGAAGGCTGTTTGGCCCTCTTTATCTTATGGAAATCTGTTGCCACAAGGACTAGGCTTGAGTGGAAAAGTTAGGGAACAAATATTGTAACTATGAAAGATGTCATTTTGAGACACTGTTATCAACAATATATTTCAGTATATATAGACACCATGTGCATTTTTATATTAGTCTAGTGTAAACTGAGTACAACTTTATATTGTCTCTTCCATAGTAAGATGTATGCATTGTGTGGCCATGTTTACTGACACACTCTAGACAAAATTCTGAGACTATAACATGTATATAGTTAATGTTTGTTTGGGCTTGTGACCTAACTTCCAAGAGCTGCGTCTAACTCAGCCTTAGGTCATCAATTAATAAAGTAGGAATTTGAGCACAACCTTGTCCACAGCTGTTTTAAATATCCACATGGCCCCCTGGAGTTAGTAGGCGGATGGGCCCCACTTTTGCAAGTTGAGCTTGTACTCCCTACTCAGTTGCACAGCTTACCAACTGCTAAGTGAGGCACATTCTCTTTTGGATTATGTGGCTATCCCTGTAAGCCTAAAGATATCGTAAGTGACAAGGGAAGTGAAAGGATCTAGAAACAGGGGCACTTTCATCTTTAACCATGGCCTCTTTCAAGTAAGATGGTAGTTTTAGGATATCCTAGCACGAGTTGCTATAAGCAGTCCTTAATGTGCTTTTGATGGCATCACTTGGAAAACCTCACATCAGAGGGCATCCCACACTAGGTATAAAGTAGATGTTGCCTGTTGCTGTGCTTATAAATGAAAAAGGAGTCTAGGACTCTTAGAAATGCCGAAATGTAAGATACTAATTCAATGTGCACCTGGGCCTTTAAGGCTTGGGTTACCAGGATTTGTTTATTTTCTTAAAATGAGCTTCATTTCATATTTATTATTCTCCTTTACTTTTCTGAGAATGAACTGTGTATAAAATAGCTTCTGTCTACTTAAAATTATCTTCCAAACCCAATCTAATGGGATGTTTTCATTTTTTTTTTTTTAAGTGGGGAAAACACCAGAGTTTTATAGGAGGAAATTGGAGGAAAAATGGGCACAAAACCTCAGAAGGCAGCTGTTCTCAGCAGCTTTCTAGTTAACAACCTCTATGCTGCCTCTTGTATCTGTGTCTGTATTCTACTTCTGTGGTCTTCAGATTGTAAGCCTTTCCTGGCAAGCTTTTTTTTTTTTCCCTGAAACTTTTTATGAATGGCTACGGCACCATTAATGCTGCTGAGTATCTTTAAACTCATCACAAAGGCAAGTGTATAGCTTAAGGCCACTGTTGGTAAGGAAACCAAGTGTCCTCTGTGCCTTTTTTTCTTTCCTTGAAGTAATTTAAGAACATCCCAAAAATGAGACTAAAAAATTATCATCTTGGTGTACACCATGGTGTGTATATGCGCTTAGAAGCTTAAAGAGATGTTTTGTTACCTGGAACTCAGAAACAGCTCTAAATCTATTAGAGCAGACTTTCTGATATACCCAGTTTCATGTGTTGGCTTTGCTGGAGTATGATAGGAAAATGAAGACTCTTTATCAGCTCTGGTATTGCTTATCAAGAGGGTGATAACTCAACTTGGAAAATTATTTAAGTAGGCTTTATCAAGCAATCTTGGTTTGTTGTTGTTGTTGGGTGTTTTGTTTTTTAGTATAGTTTGTAATGGATATGTAAAAACAAACATTAAAGGTTTTTTAATGGTGCAGGTGAAGGTGCCAGTTGCTATTTGGTATCACAGTCTACAAAAGCTTCATTACTTTATTTGATGCTGGTTGCTAAGCAGCCATTGCCCAGAGCCTAAGTCTACTGGGTGCCTTTACAAGCCAGAGAGGCTGATGCTGCACTGTTGGTGTCATGTGAGGAAATAATGCACATGCTCTGACTGCTACACAGGAAAACCTAGACCAAAAAAAAAAGTATAAAATAAAACAACAAAAAGGTTGATTGAAATAAAATTTGATCAACATAACTGTATTTTGAAACATTCCAGGAAGGTTACTTCTTGTCAAACTTGCCTGGGGGTGTTTGTTCAAAGCTTGTATTTAATAAATGAACACATGACTTACAACCTTTGTTATCACTTCCTTCATTACAGTATGAAAAGCTAGTGGCAGTTTCTCAGAAATTTGAGAGGACTCTGACCAATTCACTTCTCTTTAAGGTGGTATCAAATGTGGGTCGCCCGGCCGAGCTAACCTCCCTTACCAGGCTTCTGGACCCGAGTTACGCAGAAGAGTGTTTGGGCATATTTTTTCCTCATCGGTTCACGTCCAGCTTCGCTTTTCTTTATCTGGCCTAAACCCCAGGTCTTTCATTTTAATCATTCACTATCACATTCCCTTTTTTTTTTAACATTTACTGCCTTTTTTTTTTTTTTTTAAGATTTTATTTATTTATTTGACAGCGATCACAAGTAGGCAGAGAGGCGGGCAGAGAGAGGGGGAAGCAGGCTCCCCGCTGAGCAGAGAGCCCGATGTGGGGCTCGATCCCAGGACCCTGGGATCATGACCCGAGCCGAAGGCAGAGGCTTTAACCCACTGAGCAACCCAGGTGCCCCCACATTCCCTGTCTTGCCCCTAGTTTCTATAGCCTTTCCCTGTGGACTTCAGTTTAGATTGACCCAGTCATTCCTTTCTGTTCCAGTATCCAAGCTGTAGACCACTGTTGGAGAAAAATGACACAATCTTTAGAGTGCTGTGACCACAAATCAGTGGTTGCTAACACTGCCCAACAACCCTGTGTGTCCAGAAACTCCGCACCAATCCAAACTTGAACCTTTCTGCCAATCTTTCTGACCTTCACTGAAGATCTTGTCTTCCACTTAAATAGAAAGATACATATTTCAGAATTTCCACTTTCAGATTTCTCTCCCATCATCCCATCTGTGAAGAGGCCCCACGGTTCCAAGACTAATCCCCCCCAATCTTCTTTCTTCTCTCTTCAGATATTTTATCAATCCTCCTTCTCTATCTTCAGCGTCCACCTTAAGTTCTACATCCTTACTTGGTCTTATTGAGTGGAGGAGGGCACAGAGGGAGAAGGAAAGAATCTTAAGCAGGCTCCATGCCCAGGCTGAGCCCAGCGCAGGGCCCAACGGGGGGCTCATGGCACAACTCTTGAGATCATAACCTAAGGTGAAATCAAGTCAGATGCCTAAGGACTGACCCACACAATCACCCCTTATTTGGTTTTCCGACTTACAGTCCTTTATAGACATACTCTGGCTTCTATCCTAATTTTCGGAAACTGCTGTAGCTAATATTTCCATATTGGTAAATTAACTTTCCCAGCCTTAATGTGACTTCTCTCTGGAGTACTTGGCACCTGAATCATTGCCTTTGAAACGATGCTCTTGGCTCCTTGATGTCACCCCCAATTTTTCTTTCCACCTGACTATCTCATCAATCAGATTTGCTCAGGCTTCTCCAGGGTACATTACTTATAATTATGCTTCTCACATCAAATGCCACTTCCCTAGATAAATCTTTTCTCCCAGTCGTATTAAAGTTTCAACCCTGTAGTACAGAGCTGTTCTGTTATACGTCTTCCCTAGAAATCTTTCCAGATCACCACTACTCCTAAGGGCATTCGCCTCTTACCTGTTTACACTGCAATCTTGTCAGATCCCAACTCTGCCCCTCACTAGCTATGTGGCCATTTATCAATCCCAGTCTTAAATGGGGGACACTGCCTAACACAGGCTTTCTTAAATTCCAAAAGGCCTGGCATACTGGAGGCCCTCCCTCAGTAAATGTTTTGTTGCTCCCATCTCCATAGTTCCTTGCGACTCACTAGGGAATTAGAGGGACTGGACTCCGATCCCGATACAAAATGAAGGGGAGCACAAAAACAGACACATAGATCAATGGAACAGAATAGAGAGCCCAGAAATAGACCCTCAACTCTATGGTCAACTAATCTTCGACAAAGCAGGAAAGAATGTCCAATGGAAAAAAGACAGCCTCTTCAATAAATGGTGTTGGGAAAATTGGATAGCCACGTGCAGAAAAATGAAATTGGATCATTTCCTTACACCACACACGAAAATAGACTCAAAATGGATGAAGGACCTCAATGTGAGAAAGGAATCCATCAAAATCCTGGAGAACGCAGGCAGCAACCTCTTCGACCTCAGCCGCAGCAACATCTTCCTAGGAACATTGCCAAAGGCAAGGGAAGCAAGGGCAAAAATGAACTATTGGGATTTTATCAAGATCAAAAGCTTTTGCACAGCAAAGGAAACAGTGAACAAAACCAAAAGACAACTGACAGAATGGGAGAAGATATTTGCA